GCCATCTCCACACCCCACCTCAGCTACCTACAGACAGCCGCCTACAGACCCTCAGCCAACTCCACACCCCACCTCAGCCAACTCCACACCCCCCGCCATCTCCACACCCCACCTCAGCCACCCTTAGCTGCCCAGGGCCGTGTTTGGGCCAAGAGAGCAGGCGGTTGCCCCCACAGGCCTGATCAAGGGCTCTAACCGCCCCCGGAGAGCGGAGGGCGATCGAGTCCGGCCGCGCACCTGCGCCAGCCGCGGGGGTGCGCATGCGCAGAGGCCGCGCCCCGGGGCGGGGTTGGGGGGAGCCCGACCCGCTCTCCCCTCACAGCCAGGAGGGAAGAAGGGGGCGGCTGGGGTTGGAGCTGTCTTTCTCCTCCTCGAAGCGAAGGCGGAGCTGTTGGCCGAGCCGGGCCGGGCCTCCGGCGCCTCTCAGCCGCCTTGGCACCGCGCTCCCCTTCGGCGGGTGGAGCCGTGGGTTGCCCCGCGGGCGGTAGTGCCCGTGGTTTTACCTGAGGGCAGGCTCAGTGCGGGCCTGTGCCTCCCATCTGTCCCCCAGGAGTTTATTTCCTCGTTTTCAAGCTCCCCCGCGTTGAGGTGTTCCCCAGAGCTGAGGGGTGCCTGCTGTGGGGCCGGGCAGGGCCGCACGCCTTGCCCGCCGCCGGTGGCTGTGAAGGGTGGTGGGGACACACCTTGGCAGGGACTCCATCCGTTTTGCTTCCTTCGAGGAGCAGGCCAAGGAGGGCTCACAGAGTCCCCCGGTTTCAGCAGATCTCAACGGTGACCGGTGGCACGTCTTGCAGGACCCCTGGGAGAGCTGTCAGGCTGGGGCTGGGGTGGAGGCCCCCCTATTTCTGGTGCTGGAGGTGGAACTGCCAGCTCACAAACCGGGATGGAGGAGCTGCTGGTGGGAGGCAAATGTCCAAAGGAGAAGGGAAGCAGACAACGGGCTGCAAAAGCATTTAGGGTGATTAAAACACATCTTCCTATGGCTGCTCTTGTAGCTACCGCTGAACAATCCCACTCTCCGCCACCTGCCCTCTAATTCTTCCATTTATAGTGCTGTTAGTTCAGAATAAACCCCACCATTCTCAATATTCTTCACACCAAACACGTCTTTAAAGGTAAGAGTGCATTAGCTGGCAATGCATGCCATTGAGGACTGGAAGTCTTTGTAGCCAAGCGTAGGAGACCACACACATTCAGTTACTGCTTCCAGACTCTGGTAAGTGTCCTGTGCAACCAGAATTTGTGATTTCTCGCAAGCATTAGTTGATGACAGCAAGTTCTTGCTCTACTTGAATTACTTCTTAAACCACTCTTCATTTTGATAAAATGCTTACACTTAATTTCTAGACATTTTTTAAAGTAGGTAGACTCAGAAATACTGGCTGTGCTGTGAGAAGACAAAGTAAATTAAGAAGGAAATGTGTATGCTGTATAATTAGAATGACAGCTATCCCTTTAGTATCTAGAAATGCTCTGAGGGGTGACTGGATTACTTTAAAACACGAGCAGTAAATAGAGCACTCTTCCAAGACCTTTCTGCCAGGAAGACCTCATATCTCTATTCAACCCTCTTCTTACTTAAATAACCACACAAGTATATCATGCCTGGAGGAAAACTTAGTGCGTGTTGGGATTTGCATGTATTTCATGGGAAAAAAGGTAGTGGAAAAGGGAGGAGAGTGAATGAGAAGTAGGTGCATTTGCCTTCGGGACAAAGTTTCTCATTTTTCTCTTTGATTATGCAATCTAAGCTCCTCTCTCCTGCATCTTTATGAACGGTGCTTTGTCACTGATTCCACTGCCTCTTCAGCAAAAATCTTCTGTCTGCGTCAGCACAGACCTCATAGGAGGGCAATAAACCAACTATTCTTTACTTTTTAAGACACGCACAACCCCCAAAAGAAACTGCCCCTGCCCAAATACCCCCAAGCCCATGTACCCGTATTTACTTTGAAAACCCCTCCTGAATTCTATATTAGGGCCCTTGGGCACGAGTGCCATCTGTACGTCCATCAGACAAAGGCATTTTATAGGGTCTCAACGCAGGCATGGGTGTGGAGAGAAGGGAAGAGGAGTTCATACAGGCACCCAATTTATTTTTTACCCAACCCCCCCTCCAACACAGCCCGTGTAACAGACTGGGAGATGTTCTTTTCTATCTCCCTCTCCATGGCTTAGCAGGGAACTAGGGTTAGAGCTCCCCCACCCTTTCCTTTAATGAGCTGATTTTTTTGTTTTGGTTTCTTACTGTAAAGCACCCCTTTTTATTCCAGTGTCATCCCCTCGATGACATTCGTGTGTCCAAGCAGCCCCCAGATATCAACCCACCCACCAGCTCAGGTCTGTTCTGTGCGTGAGAAAGGGCAGTCACCCTTGAGAAAACGCTGCCCACAACCTGGCTTTCCCTTTTCCCAAAAGGGATGAAGTGTGGACCTGCTTCATTCTCTTATCATTCCAGCATCTTACCCTTTGGTTTCTGCATGTTGCTGCATATAACACACCGAGCGTGTGAATTCAAACCCTCAAATTTAATTTATGGTAAACTGAACACACACTTACACTTGCCCCTGTACAAATAACGGAAGGTTATTTGGTTCTGCTTATTAAGGTTATAAGGTCCTGCTAGGAAAAAAAAGCATCTGGACGCAATAATCACTAATACTTGGTTAACAGCAGTGCAACCAGCAGAGCTTAGCAGGCAGTTCTATGTATGTGTCTCCCACATCGTTTTTAGCTGAAATAATACATTATTTCACCGCCTCTCAGGTCCCTCTTCCTCCCCCCTCTCCCCACTTTTCAATCTGTTTCTTGATGTTCACCAGACATGAGAGGTACAAGTCTCAGAGACGTTCACGTTCCTCTCTGAGGAGCTCCTCTCACGAGCTCTCTGAAAGCTGCCAGCTGTGTCGGGAAGAGAGACACTGAAACGGGCACGTGGCTGGAGGGGAAGGCTGGCAGAACTCGGCTGGTATCTCCTCTCCTTAACAGCACCCAGCCCACCAACCTCTACACGAGTAGCTCTGGCAAACGAGCCAGGGCATGTGCCGTCTCCTTCCTCGAGCTAGCGTCACAGCAAGAGCCTCAGAGTCACGCGGGTAGAAGGGCAGAAATCTGTGGAAAATTAGCATTATTAGTTTCTCCTCATTTTAATCCCTCATTCTGCCATTACAACACTTATCTTTTTTTTGTAGCCTTTTAAATTTTGCTACGCTTACGGGACACTTTAAAAAAAACTTTTTAGAATCAGAATCTGCAAGTAAACAGAAAAATACAGGAAAGCACTCAACTGACAGCAAAAAGATGTTACAACTTTAAAACTTCACTTTAGATGAAATAAATCCCCAAATCCAGTATTTTTCATGGCTTTTGACATCAGCTGCTTTACAGCCATTGCACCTAATAGTCAGCTTTTCTAAAGTGTTAGCAACTAACCAGGCACTGTAACTGGCCAAACCAGCTCATGGATAAGGCAGAAAGACAACAGTGTTAACACGGCAGAGGTTGATGAAATCTTGACTCTAGGGGGGAGACTCAAGTCTCCTGGACAAGTCTCACTCCCTCTGCCCCTTCCAGCCCAGCTGGTGGGAATTTAAGTCTAGCACCAGTGAACTTGGACTCTCCAGAAAAGCGATCCAGCCTGCTGGCCACCATCAGCTGTACTGCAGGGGCTCGGGATGCCAAATCCCAGTCTGAACTGAACTGGCAGCAGCACACATGCAGAACAGCACTTCAACACCCAGCAGGGAAAATAAATCCAGAACAGCTTTCTCAAAGCGTTTTAGGGCAAGAAAGATATTTTCCAGCCATGGTTACACTGTATGGTGAAGTACCGGTGGCTTTTTACAGTGTTCCAACATTTTTAATCAAGAAAATTTAAAGGCTTCTTGCCATATACAGTGCAAATATCACAGTAGCATCTCAGTACTGAAGAAAATCACTCGAAGATGAAGACAAACACAACAGAAACACTTTTTTTTTTTTCTTTCTCCTGTTTCCAACGTGACACTCTGGATGTGCTACAGGGCAAAAAAGCCATTATGTGAAACCAAACCTTGGTAACTAATCTCACAGATGCAAGTCACTCGGCTGCGCAGTCTGTCTCCAAAATGACCAGCAGAGCTTTGCTGGGCCTCGTGGTGTGGATCAGCAGCGTCCTCCTCTCATATGTTTCCTTTTCCTTTACACCAGATGAGGCCAACGCTCAACCCCCACAAAAAGGCATGCCAATACAAAAGGGTTAAAGATTTTCCAACAGGTATGCCTACATCAATAATAAATGTAAGGCCAAAAGTAATAAGAGTGACATTATTATTACTTTAAATAGCACCAAGGAAATCTCATTACTGAACAAGGATTCACAAAGCCATATTAACAAAGCTATTTACCCTATCCATTTTCATGTAGTACCTACAGTTTTTATCAGATTGTCATTTAGAGGTACAGTATTTTTTCCATTCCTGGTTTTCAAGATGAGAAATGGAGGCATCTCTATGCGTGCAGAGCACTAGTAAATCACTCTGACAAACTGACAGAAAATTCAGTTCCAGAAATAAATTCAGCTGCTGCTACCTGGCTGTCGACTTCAATTTCTCAAACAATAAAAGGTACAGAAACATAGCTGGTTATGTAGGAGACTGACTGGCAAGTTTCTGCAAAAATACTCACTTTTGATATGGACGTACCTCAAAATAAAAGTTTAATTGTAGAGAGTGTAACAGCACTTGTTACAGTAGGTTTTCCTGAGAGAACTCACCACAGACCACAGCCAAGAAAGATTCTATTTCCTCTGCTTTCTGTTATTACCCAGTAACAAGCTAGAGAAAATATTTTAGAACCCTAACCCGTGTTTCTGTATATTGCAGGATGGACAAAGTTCTATGATATAATGATTAAGTGGACTGCTTCTGAAGTCTATGTGTCTATTTTTTCTTTTGAAGGAAAAAAATAAGTTTGATACATTAATGAAGGATCAGAAAAGAATAACACTAGTAGAGAAAGGGTTCTGTACCTTGATGCTCCTTTACTTCAGAGCCCATGTGCCACAGACAGCATTCAGTTAAATAATAGTCTTAGCAATAAACAATGACAATACACAGAACACTACACAGCATCACTCCTTTGGCTCAAAGTCATTCCAGTTTGTTACTGAACAGCTGTTATGCAAAAACTCCAACGCATGGCTGAAAACAACAACCTTCACATCCCATAGCTGAAAAGGCTAGTAACAAATTGGCAAAGGAAATTTCGATTGCACATCCCTTAACGTAGTTTTTGTTTCTTGTGCAGTTTGAAACAGCATCAGTGTAACTTTGGTATTCATTGGAGAAAGGCTTAGTTGGGAGGGCAGCTGGCAGTCAATAGTTCTCCAAGGTAAGCTCTGTCTGAGAAGGCATCCATTTCCAATTTCTCCAAACAAAATAATTTGTTTGAAACAAACCCGAACTAATTTTTTTTGAAACGTTTCATGCTGCAGCAGACCCAAGATACAGTTGTGTTCTCACAGGGATGTTAATTACAGTAGTAATAACAAAATCATTCTGAGAGATGATGAGGTACCACTAGCAATGGTCGCAGAGAAAGTCGAGATCATTTCCAAAAGGAGTGCTCTGGGAAGATTAGCTTTTAGAGAACTTTCTATTGCCTGGCCTAGTCAAAGCCCTTCTAGTGGTTACATTTTTCCCTCCTGAAGCAGAATATTACTTAAGATAATTTTTACAGTAAGAACAATCACCCGCTGGAACAGGGACATGGTACAGTCCTTGTCACGGGAGGTTATAAATAGGGTTAGCAATAGGACAGGGGGCTAGATAATCTCGTCTAGGCTCCCTTTCCCAAAAAAGGCTGGACTAGATGATTTTTTGAGGTCCCTTCCAATCTGGGCTGTTCTATGATTTTATGATATTGGGGATACTGAGAGACTGAAGAGAGACATTTATTTTCTATGTGACCACCAACATGCAAGCATTTTTTGTGTGATCATTCCTTTTTAAATCTGCTAGAATCAATCATTGCCTTTACCAATTAGGCACCAAACACGAGGGGAAAAAAAACCCCATCTTTCAAGTACATAAGCAACATATTTAATAAATAAAACCTAGCTTCCTCTTGACCAGTGGGTTTGGTGTGAAGGGGAAGCATTTTTGGACAAGACAGCTGAAGAGAAACTTAACTGGCAGTGGTGAAATAATCCAGGTGATAGAGGGGCATAAAACTGCACTTCTCAGGATACTGGGAGGCTAAGAAAATTACGGGATCTCATGATATTGTGTGAAAAAGATCTGAGGAAGACAGACAGGGCTAGGGCATGATAAATTATCTTTCCCACACTGGTAAAAGATATTTTCTCTTCCTGATATGCATCCTTGTCATCAAATATAGATCCCTCCCATGCAGACATTTTAAAGGCTTGTTGACATTTGGAGAATAGTACTTTTGCTCCTCTGACACACAAAATCTGTCCCAGAAACCCCTTTCCTACACATGTCCTGTTACAACTAAGATTTACACAGAGCCTCACATAGCGAGCCTCTGGACACTGCTACAGCACCAAGAAAACCACTGGAGGTTAACTTTAATAACCAGACATTTATACTTTGGAAGAATGTGTTGTAGAGATTATAAGGCATCCTTTAGGGGTCAAGTAATCCATGTTAATACAGACTTTCAAAGTTGAAGTCATTCCTACTCATATTTTTGCTAATACATAGAACAATTTCATAAATATGATAGGCACAGACAGGATTTTTACAACCATTAATCTGTCTTCACTGTCAAACACAGCAGCTGCTTTATCCTCAGCAAAAATCTTTAGCACAGTTCTGTCGCTCAGTCTGCTGCCCCAAAGGACCTTGTTCTTCAGCCACAGCTGGAAGGACAGATTTGCCTTTCAGAATTCCAGGCAGCAACTTCTTTTTTTTTTTTTTTTTTAAATAGTTCATCCCTTTTTGATATCAGCTGCTTTTTCTCTGTGGGAAAGATACTATCTTCTTGACATGCTAGAGTAAGACTGCACATCAACGTATGGAGAATGGAATGAAAGTGTAGTGTCAGCAATGACGTTTTTGACCCAACCCACTATTTATATCCCCAACAGTCATGCAAACCTTGCCCATTATACACTAGGGCATGCTGCCTCCGTGTGGCAGAATATGCTTCAGACATTCTTTTCTCTTGCATTTCACACAATCTTGTGTGTGGCTATGAATTTTGGGAACAGTTTTGGAAACAGAAGGAATAGAACCCATAAGTTATTTCTGTGAGAAACGGCAATATGGGGATGAAAAAAATTAATGAATTATATTGATAACAGTGTTTTTCACACGAATACTCACCAGGAACACACAGTAAAGTACAAAGGCTATATATATATATATATGTGCATATATATATAAAAAGAATGCTTTCTCAAATGTTTATTACACGATGAAAGAAGACTAATTGAAAAAAATTCACATCTTGGACTTGATCAAAGGGGACTGATTGCTCTTCAGACCTGTTAGCTAAAAGCAAGATTGAAAGAGCAATTTTGAAAAATTACATAAGACTGGATCACATTCTTTTTTTCAGTTCATAACTGGTTTGGTTCAAACTTGACTAGAGGACCATAAAAGTTGCTTTAGCATTAGACCAGCTCTCTGATTCAAGTAGCACTAACACTGTATTATGGGTACAGGGTTTTTCCCATGACTAAAATGGAAATGCTTTGTGAAATCGGTATATTTTCTTCCACACCACACTCATCCCCACCCCAAAGCCCCAACCTCCACCTACTTTACCAATGTTGTTAGATACAAGACCTAAAGAAGATAAAAAACAAGACAATTACTGTTTTGCCCATTTGTGTCTTTACATTTCAGTCTTTACCAGCTGACCACAATTGCATTCCACCTCACTGTGAACAAGGTCTTCATATGTTATTTCCAGACTGGAAAGAAGTGACATGGTATGGCTGAGAGGGTTTTGTAAATCACCAGTGCCATAATATTTAGGATTTCCCTGCTGTGGTTAAGATAAATTATGATGCTCCTGTCAAATCTCAATCTTACTGCACATAATAGACAGTGCGAGGGGACGCTAAATTTATGGTGAGATTTTTTTCCTTTTTCTTTTTTTTTTAAGACAGTGCAAGGTCTAGAGACAGGGTAAGAATCTCAAGATTAGGGTGTTGCAGGGTCTTATGCCAAATTTAGTTTACATTTCATTGTATAAGCATTTTCCTATCTCTGTTTGGTATCCAGCAAACGATCCTATTAGAAATTTTCCAAATATCTGTGTATTTTTGTCTCTAAGTACTGTCCATTTCAAAACTTTTCAAGGTATAAATTAGTAGCTATACATCTGTTGTTGTTGCTCTGTTTGAACCTGTTGCTGTCCTGACTGCTGTTGCGTTGGCTGTGCCTGGGGCTGCAAGACATCAGTCTGAGGCACAGACCTCCAGGTCAGAGGATGCTGTTCTGTTATCTGGTTCCCTAGAGGTGCAATGGAGTTCACCAAGGTGGTCAGGTTTATAAAATGGGCCACAGACTGGGGATTGGCTGCCTCTGGCTGGGGCTGGATCTGAATGTCACTTTGGCGGTTGTGCAGCATGGCGGAACCACTGACGGTGTCAAACGTCACCGTGAGGATTGAGTTGTCCAGCTGTAACTGACGTTCAGGTGCAGTCAGATGGCCCACAGCCACTGGCTGCAGGTGTGTGAATTGGGTTCCAGCCGCTGTCGTAATGGGGGTAACAGTGATGTTTGTCAGCCCGACAGAACTGGAAGGAGCTGTGACATTTGGGTCGCCAAGGGTCACCACCACCTGAGGAAAAACAGAAAGGTAACCTCAGCCTTGTATCTTGAAGCTGACTACAAAACACCAAACATCAAGACGTATCACCTGAGTGCTGATGGGCTCACGTGTATTTACTGCCAGCAAGAGAACTCATACACACAGAGGCGAGCACAGAAAGCTTGGAATATAACAACTTCCACATATAGAAATGAGAAGGTAATGGGAGGGAGGCATATGCAAACAAGCAGCCAATTTAACTTTCACACTTTTAGTCACAGCTTCAGCCAGTTAGTAGTATTTGGCAAACAAGGAGATGGTAACACCAGAGGAAATAAAAAAAACAAACACCCATGAGAAGCTTACTCGTCCAACCCTTTGTTTTTTTTAAGTCTCTATTCATCTTTGTGTTACCACAATTTATCAAATTAGCCTTAAATGGTCTGATCGCTCTTTTGTATTTGCTATTAGGAAAAAAAATAATTGTTATCCCTCTAAGCGATGCTTGCTCCCCATCACCCTGCTGCTGGAGCTCACCTGCTGGATGCTCTGTACAGCTGAATTAGTCTCATCTCCAACATTCCCTGTGAATTCACCTTCCTTTTCCGTGTATTCACTGAAGGCAGGGTCCTCAGGCACTTGTGCTTCCTCCTCCTCACCTGACTTTTGTTTTCGTTTCTGGCCACGTTTAAGAGCTTTCATATGCTGTTTCCCTTCTGGTAATTCTCCCTGTTCCAAGGCTAATTCCGGCTGGAGCAACACATTTCCAAACAAAACAAGAAGTCATTTTGCTTAGTGAAGTTCCAAGTAAAAGCCTGTCACCTGAAGTTGGTTTACTGTTGATTCGCAAGTGAAGAAACAAACTTTATCAAAAACCTGATTTAAGGGAATGAGATGTCACCCTCTATCTACCTCTGTTCTACCACCACCCACAAAATAATAGAATAGTTTAGGTTGAAAAGCACCTTAAAGATCATCGAGTTGCAACCCCCCCGCTTCCTCCCAGGTTACCTGTCCTTGCTTCTACCCTCTATAAGCTTCCTTTTTGTATTTGAGTTTTCAGGAGCTCCTTGTTCATCCATGCAGGCCTCCTGATGTTTTTACCCAACTTCCTCTCTGTTGGGATGCACTGCTCCTGAACTTAGAGGAGGTGATCCTCAAATATTAACCAGCTTTCTTGGGCCCCTCTTCCTTCCAGGAAGTATTATTCCACAGGACTCTGTCAACCAGATCCCTGAAGAGGCCAAAGTCTCCTCTCCTGAAGTCCAGGATAGGGAGCTTAGTGCACAACCTCCTCGCTGGCCTAAGGATCTTGAACTTCACCATCTCATGGTCACTGCAGCCATGGCGATCTTGAACTTCACCATCTCATGGTCACTGTAGCCATGGCTGCCCTTGAGCTTCACATTCCCCACCAGCCCCTCCTTGTTGGTGAGAACAAGATCCAGCGTGGTACCTCTATCACTTGGAGAAGAAAGCTATCACCGATGTATTCCAGACCAGCCCCTCCTTGCTGGTGAGAACAAGATCACTTGGAGAAGAGAGCTATCACCGATGTATTCCAGGAGCCTTCTGGATTGCTTATGCCCTGCTGTGTTGTCCCTCCAACAGATATCTGGGTGGTTGAAATCCCCCATGAGGACCAGGGCTTGTGAATGTGAGGCTGCTCCTGTCTGTCTATAAAGGCCCTCATCCGCTTGGTCATCCTGGTTGGGTGGCCTGTAGCAGACCCCCACTGTAACATCACCTGTCCCTGCCCTCCCTTTAATCCTGACCCATAAGCTCCGGACCCATATTATATAACAACACAGATCAACAGCTTCCATCTGCTTATACATGTTAAGCTGGGGCTGACTCTCTAAAAAAGCACATTCCTTGGCCTATGCCCAGCTATCTGATGTACCAAAGGTGATGTCTCAACCTCACCCTCAAGTACGCCTGGAACCTAGTTGCTACCAGAACTCTGCAATGGCCAATTTACCTGAACAATCCCAATTGAGGAGGCATCAATGGTAGTTGTCTCTGGCAGCTGCTCTAAATCATCAATCCTCACCGAAAGAATCTGTGGACAAAGAGGTATCAGCCAGTGAACTGCAGCCGTGCATACCACAGTCAAACAATACAGCACTGACGACATAAACCCTGTCACAAAGCAAAAATGATGTAATCTAACATTTTACATGTATCATTTAATACAAGGGATTTAACCATGGCTTTATAAAAATAGCCTTATGGCATATCATCTTTTCTTTCTTGCTGAAAACCAGCAAAGTTTAAAGCCAACAATAGAAGAGTATATTTATTTTCATATTCTAGAGAGAACATAGGCCACTAGGAAGTTATGAATTCTATACAAAACAAACAATGTGTTTGAAAAAAAAATTACTTTAGCATTTCTATTTATAAACTACTCCATGATTTTCAGCTAAATCTATACATCTCAGCTGATCAAAGAACAGAGACAAATTGCCCTCTGGATTGCAGCTATGTAGCTGCATTTTCAATCCAAAAATCAATAAACAAAGCTTTTTGTTGATCTCCTTCCTGTTCATTATGATAAAAAATAGAGATAGTTCAAGGCAAAGCAATACTAATGATACACTGATAGTAAATAAAACAACAGAAACCAAATCTCAAAGGGAATGGACAAGCTTTAGTCAACCCGAACAAGAAATGCTGAGGAGAAACACAATAGCTATTCAGAAATTCAGAACACAGAAAAAGCCCCACTGGGGTCAGGCAAAAAAAATCTCTCTAATCTAGATACTCTGCAGTCAGCATTCATCTTTAATACTAATTTTGTATCATCACAGATGCTGCCATCAGCTCTCTGTTCACCACTTCTTTCAGACTGCTTCAGAATACAGAGAACACAATGGGGAAAAAAGATCAATTATACTCCCTAATGGATGAAGACAAAACATGAAAAAATATACATTTAACCTGAGGCAGAAAAGGGATTTAAAATAATCAGCACAACTTCACTTTTAGGGAGACTGACAAGCAGGTATGTTTACTCCTGAGACATAACGAAAGCACTAATTCAGTTAAGCGCATGCTAAACAGACACTACCTAAAATTGGCCCCAAAAGAACAGAAAAAGAGTAAAAAAAAAAAAAAGAAAAAGTAATTCCTTTCAAGTCACTGAAAGCTATAAACTTTCTTAAAAAGCCCCAACAAACAAACCACCCCACAATCTACCTGCCAAGCTCACTCACCTCTGGATGTTTACGTCTCATATGTCGACTCATGGATGCTCTGGTAGAAACCTTTGTTCCACACAGCTGACAGCTCTGGGCTTCTACCTTGTCGTGAGTCAGCTGGATGTGCTTCTGTAGCATGTAATCAGTGACATATTTCTTATCACAGACTGAGCAAGTCCACTGTTTTCCTACTGGTGGCAGATGGAAGGAAATGCTGTTAGCAAGAGCATCCAAAGAGCAGTACCATATTGTCAGAATCTCAACAAAAGGAATAATTTTATGGTGATAACTTGATGTGCAACATTAGTGCCAAAACTGGCAAGTCTAAAGCAAGCCTAGGAAAAAAATTAAGCTATTGTCTTGGGATACTATTCTTTAGAGGATTTACCTGTATGAATCAACTTATGAGTCTCCATTGTATTTCTCTCACTAAACGTCTTGCCACAGAGCTCGCACATGAAATCTTTGATTCCTGCGTGAAAAGCACATTTAACATCAGAGTGAAAATAGTCTAAGGTATCTGGGACAATTCTGAGTCTTGTATTACTAATAAAACCAATAATAAATCACAGCCAAACAAGTAGAAGCAGCCCAGCTTCACTAGCTATTTTTAGCTAAGTCATGCCACTATATCTGGCAAAAAACAAGAGAAATTGGTTTGGGAGGTAAAATCTTGTTTTGGGAAATGTGAGCCTGAAGACTAACTTAAACTCAACACTCTAGACCTACCCTAGACCAAACCCATCTCTCTTAAAAAAGCAAAATGTGAAACCAACCGAACTATGTATCTTAACTGTATAACGGGTGGTCTTGGCTGACAAAAGGACAAAACCTCACTTTTCAAAAAGGAGAATACACATATTTTTTAATTAGCGTTCTTCATACTCTCTGACTGTTCTAGACAAGAGGTCCCTCAGGAAGCATTTCACTGATTCAGTGCAACTTCTGTACATCTTTAGAGACCTCACCTGTGTGTCTTTTGTAATGCTTCAGCATGTTGACTTTCTGTGCAAATTTTCGGTGACACTCCTTGCATTCATATTCTTTAATCCCTTTGTGAAGTTTCATGTGGTGACGAAGTGCATGTTTTGTCTTCATTCCTGTGAGACAAAAAGTACAGCATGACAATTAGTCCACTGCTCCCACCTTCAGAGGAGAACTCAGGAAGATCATGCTGTTAGCCAAGAGCTCTAAGATTACATCTGCTGCATGTCCACAATTGCATATTTTTAATTGTTTAGGTAGCAGTGTACATTATAATTATTATTTTAATTCCAGGCAAAAGCTCTGGAAAATATCTGAGTAACCACTGAGCAGAAGCAAAACAGCAGGGACAAGCACAGACAAAACGTCATTAGAAGTGTCAGACTTCCTGCCTTCCACTAAAATACCAGTTTAGGTTTTTTCAAGTTACAATGCTAACAAGTCACAAACTCAAAGCAACTTCAACTCTATAAGGCTCTTAGAGAGAGAAATTACTCTATTTCTTAAGTCTGAAAACAGCCTAGAATGAAAAAATTAACTTGTTCACTTTTGTGCTGCAAATGCATTGTAACTCAGTCAGGTAAGCACTCCTCAATCTGACAAAAGCAAATTTAATTAAAATCAGTTTTTTCTTGCAGGCCATGAAACTAGATGGTATAAAATTTGGGGTAGTTTATGTAACCATAAGGCTCCTGATTATTACAGTTTCTACCTCTCAAAAATGTAGGATTTACAGCACTCCAAAAACCTTTTCAATGTTCTAAGAATGGAAGTAGTTTTAATTCAGATATTCACCTGCTATTCAGTATCACAATTAATGGAAAACAAGGCATTAGACATACCTTTGCCACATTCTGCACACAAGTATTCTCGGATATTATCATGGACTCGCATATGTTCTTTTAACATGTCTTTTCTAGCAAATGATTTGCCACATTGCTCACAAGCATGACTTTTTACACCTTAAAAATAAATTTAAAAGACAACATAAACAAAAAAAAATGTTAATGAATAATGTGCATCTCCTAAAAACTGCCTAAACTGGTGAATTAGAGGGCAACAGTCCACCTGTGTTGTCAACCACATCTTTCATGCATATTGTAGCCCAAACTAAATTAGAAGACTTTGGAGAGACAGAAAAGCTGGCTTTTTGTATGAGATCTGAAAAAAAAGATAAAGCCTGAGGTAGGAAAATATTGAATAGCATGAAATAATAATGAGCTGTTAAAAATGATTTTGCAATAGCAGCTTTCAGCCTGTGTAATGGTGAGAAGGTGGCATGGATAAGAATTTGGGGAAGAACAGAATACAGAATTAGGATTTTTAGCAGGTGAATCCTGCACCATATTAACTAGGAATCTGGATTTTGTGTCTAGACCAAATATCTTCATTAATACTGCCTGCTTTAGAAAACTCATCTACCCTGAAAGCACTTGTAACACTTATCTTACTGTAACTTACAGTAAAAACCCCTAACTTACTTCCTCCTGAAAAAAAATAAGGCGGGCACTGGCAACATAAACTTCTTTTTAATATTGATAATAAAGATAATAAAGAAATACAGCATTTTTACCTGTATGTATAAGCTTATGTCTTTCAAGATTTCCTATACTGTTAAAAATCCTTCCACAGATTTCACATGGATGGATGTATCTGAAACCAAAGAGACCAAAAACTATCATTCTTTTCTTGAGACAGAGATGGTTTTCAGTCATCTCTGCCAGTAACTATTTCATTTGGTAATACTAATTACTATAAAAGTTTCCTTGAAATATAAATTTATTTTTAAAACGAGCCTCTAAGTTCACTGCAACCTTGGAGCTGTCTGGCATTCCTCAAATCCTAGTTTTTAGAAAATATTTACCAAAATCACAGATTTATACTTTACAAAGACCAAACTGGGAGGCTGTTAACTAATCACCTGTGTGAAGTGAATCATTTGTGATATGTATTTCAAGCACTCATTATACAGTTTCAGATATTTTAGTACAGCCCAATTCTCTAAAAGCATCAGGTGGCAGAAGCACTGTAACTTCAAAAAAAGAAATAGCTCCTCTTATCAGTGCAGCATGTCATCTTACTTCTGTACGTTAGGATCAGGCAGGTTCTCCCGATGAATGACCATGTGTGCATGGTAAGTTGCCTTCAGGGCAAAACGTCGATTACAAATGCTACAGCCATAGCCTTTCTCCTTGTGCACATCCATTATGTGCTTCAGGTACTCCTTCCCTCTGCCGAAAGTCAACTGTGGAATGAACCAATAGTGAATGAAAGGGAAAAAAAGGTTCCTGGGAACAGCAACAATCTAGCAATGCATTACCAGGATCTAGAATAAAAGCTAGCAGACATAAATGTCCTGCATATCACTAGATGAAACATCTGTGAAAGCTGGATTTAGGCCTGAACCTCTTTGGCCATGACAAGCACATTGGTACAGGGCATCAGCTAACACATTTGGAAAACTAGCTTGAGATGGTACCTTTGCTTCTTGCACTGCCCAACTAGAGGACCACCAATTATTTGTGCACTGAGCTACACCCTTGAAGAGAACCACATCTAACCTCCACTAGCTGTCAAAGCAAGAACGCCACAGATGGAAAAAATGTTTTTTGAGCTCTAGGTGCACAGTAAACTCTAGTCTGCATAGTAAGCTTCAGCACTAGCTCCAGAAGAGTTGGTATTTCTAGACACTGCAGGGCAGTGACTCTAGCTCAGCTCCTGGAAGTGCTACTACTACAATAGACAGGCGCACCACTACTTAGCTCCCTGGACTAAGTAGCCCTGCACACGCAGATATGCTCCAACATATCAGGGAAAGTGCCATTGACATGATGTTTTGCTCCAATTTTTGAACTATTCAGGGTATTTCCGACAGCACTGCACAGTTTGGTGAAGGTGTACTTTGGGATGAGAAAAAATGTAGAGAGAGATTCTTAAGAGCTCAAAAGAACTATTTTACTAAGATTCATTCACATGTTGATCTCCCTTAGGAATGCGTGAATAGATATTTTCAGCCAAAAAAAGCCTCCCCGTCTCATCACAGGTAGCACTAATGTTCCACAGGTGTTGCCTTACACAACTGTTTATTTCACAAACACCTGCAAAAGCACTGAAAAAAACACCAGCTTCCAAAAAAGAGCTTTCTAATTCGAATGGCACAATTGCCCACATTTGGACGCACACAATTTTATATAGTCTATGGACCCATTAAGTGTCAGGCATTAAAATTACCACATTGAAAGCAGGCACAGGATTAACTGTTGTGATACCACATCTTCTTATGCTTACTGACATAAGCTTAAAATTGTTTTGCACTCAAAACCAGTTTACAGAAAAGAACAGAAAACTGAAGTATTACTATCTCCATATCTTTAAAATTAAGGTAAGCTAAGCACTTTGACCACATTTAGTGTAGACTGTGAAATAATCTCTGATTTCCAGAGGCCAAGTCTGCAGCTTAACTACCAAAATTCCCTCGTCCCTATGTCAGCTTGGCCAGTTTGGCTGTTCTTACTGAATGCCTTTGCATCCCACCTGCACCAGCACAGGATACTTGCCCAGTAAAGGCACAAAATACAAATGGGGTGTAAGGACCCCATTCTTCCTTTACAAAATGGCAAAACCCATGCACTAAGAGGTTTAAAAAAAAAAATCTTCCTTTCTCAGCTGACAACTGAGTAAAGTCTGTTCCAGGAGTACTTCTAATGTCACCCTGTTAGTAATACAGTAGGCCAAGAATAAGCAGTTACACTGAACAGAAGGAGCAGTCGTAATCCTCCACACTGGATATCCACTAGAAGACCCTCTGATCGCATCAAAATTAATCAATTTGTGGACTGTATCATTCAGAAATGCTATAATGATTTTAATTTGCATATAATTAAAAGGTAGTGTAAGATTTAAATGTTCTTTTATTGTTTCTCCCTCTAGGTTTGCTTGCTTGCCTCCTTGCACACAGGTAATTGTATGTATCTGTATTCTAAGTGTTTAGTGTTCACCTTACAGTACACCACCTTAAGTCTTATGGAATAGCATCACTTCAAAGATAAGAGGTAACAAGCACTGGCAGAAGAGAGTAGACCTGTGAACTGGCCTTCTCTTTGTAAACTCTTAATACTGTTTAAAATTCTGAATGATTTACGACATCTCCACTCCCTCCCTCCCTCCCTCCCAAAACAAGTTAATTTGAAAGTATTTAAAGCTACCTGGCACCTTTTGCAGCTATACTTGTGAGGCTCAGAATCTGCACTTTCATCAGAGTTGTCATCGTTTTCCTCTGATGAGATTCCAATTTTACCAATGAACTCTTCTCTTTGGTGATCATCCATGAGCGCTATGTCCTGTGTAGGGTGGGAAAGAATATTCTGTTTTAATAGATTAAACTTCTACTTCAAAGTTAACACCTAGTCAGCCTTTGTTGCCATGCAGACTGCCTTGCATTGACAATTGCTACAACATTGTTTATTTAAAATATCCTCCTGCTTCATTCAATTCAGATAAACAAAGTTTCTCTGTTAATGACCAAACAAAGAACTGTTTATCCAAACAAATAATACTTATTTTTTTGTGTAAAAAAGGAACTTCAACATAAAGAGAGACTCAACTGGCCCAGTATTACATCCATAAAAACAGCTTTATAAGCACCACTGAGTGATACAATTCCCTTCTGATTCAATTCCTTACAATTCAGTGTTAACCCAGTTACGTCAAATTAACCTCTGTCTGATTAAGCACTATTAATAAGGGTTCTTTTTTGTTATTTGGAACATTCTGATAAAATGAGGTAAGGAACTCAATACACAGGCAGTTATGCTGGCATATACACAATCACCAGCATGGAACAGGCAAAAACAATTAGTAGTTTTGTTTGGATTTTTTTTCTCCACAAAGAGAGAGAATGACATTCACCCCTCAGCCCAACCAACCTACACCTGGAACAATACATCTGTTTGCAGCCTTCCTGTTCAGTTGTTCTCCCTGCCTTAAACTGAGCAACCTCTGTGATTCACCCAAGGTGACAGGGGTGGTTTTTCCATAGCGTTCAGAACAGTGTTCTGCAGTGGTAGCTAAAATAACTTCAAATATGACAGTTCCCATGCTCTGTAGAAACAGAGCCATGGATAAATCAAAGCACAACTCACGCTAGGCTGCTGTAGAAACATCACTGCACAGGGTACATGATCACTGTTGTGTTCCCAGTATGAGCAGGTGGCCATAACAGTCTCAATATATTTATTGATATATTGATGTATCTGCTAAGTAACATGCCTTTTCTAACAAATTATTATCACAATACCTTAAAATGGACATGAATATGATCTCTCAACACATCCACCCTGAAAAATTTACGTCCACAGATTTCACAAGTGTATTTCTTGTCTCCATGTGTTAAAAGGTGTTTGTTCATATTGCTCCTACATGAAAATACCTAAAAGAAAAGAAGGAAGGAAGGGGTTTTGTATCATAATCATCATTTGTATCATGATATAGCAGGGCTACAGTTATTTGCAAGTTATCCAATGGACAGCACAGAACATATTTACTGTCCTGTTTTATTCATTCTGGCAGAAACATGTAAGCGCTCCTGTTACCCACCGAGCAGGCTACCTCAGAAACTGCTGCCACAGCATAATACAGGTGCAGAGTTCCAAGGAACCCACTGAAATTGGCTACTCATCAGAGGCAGACTTTCAAAAAAGCTGCAGCAGAATTACATAGGGTAGATTTAGAAATATTTATACAGTGTCTTTTGAATCATGAATGTCTATAAAAAGACACATCCACAAAATCTACCTTCATTGATACGTAACATACCCAAAGGATCAAAACCAAAGGACTACACACCAACTTAAGAGTTGCTCGAGTACATCTTGCACCATGAATCATTAAACATTTATAAAATCACTGGTTGAACCCACAGTCTTTGTACCTGAGATAACAACAACTTCAGATCATGAGCATTAAGCACCCAAATGCAAAAGTGTTATGACTACACCATGAATTCACTTTGATTTCTAAAAGAAAATGATTCCCAATGCATACAGCAATGAGTATCAAACTCAAGCTGTTTACATTCCAGCAGAAAAAATAATTCACTCTAAATAACATAAGCCATGAGATTTCACTGACAGACATAGTGGCCATCTTATATTCTACATTGCACTACACATCCTGAATAAAAGTCTAGTCTGAACTTCAGTTTTGTTATTACCTTTGTCCTACCAGCTCCCACCATCCCTGGCCACAGTGGGCTTGGATGTACAACGGAGCTAAGGCAGTTTAAAGAGTAATGTCCTGGCTGGGCAACAGGGCTCGCTGGTAACTGACCACACGCCAGTCCAGGTAGTGAGGTAACCTCACTTGGCACAAAGCTGAGTGCACATTTACCTCAACCTTTTGCCTATTCAGGTAGGCTGGTATTGTGGTTTCATACACGGGTGGTAACTTGTTATGCCATGGTAGCTCCTTTGGAGGTGCTGGGTTGAGGCGCACCGTACCTCTGCAGCACCCTGGGAGCTACAATGCAGAGCTTCACATGGCACAGGCTGGCAAGGACACTCACCTTCCCGCACACGGGGCATCCTGAAGGCTCCTTCTTGTAGCGAACCATGTTTTCCGTGCTGTGCTCAAAGTCTTCTCTTTTCACACGCCTCACCCCTTAACAGAACAGTTCCCATCAAAAAACAAAACAAAAAAATAAACCATGGTTTTCCACTCCAATCTGCATGCCCTTTCAGGTGAATACTGTAAAGAAGAGTGAAACACTGGGAAGAGCCTCAATGAAGAATTTAATTGCTAACAAAAGGATAACTTCTAAATTAAAACGGCATCTTAAGAATATAAATGCAGTCTGTCAAAGTGATGTACTTTGGCTTATCAGTTATTACACAAAATGTAAAGTGTCTGAAAACAGACATTTATTGTCAACATCAGGAAACAGGCAGATCTAGTAGGCCTTGACACTTCGATCCTGGCCCAGAAATTCCCCCTCACAGTCTCTAAGGAGAGAGGGAACCATCCAGCATCATCTTTTCTGCTTAATGATGATTTCCAATCTCTTTGTCAGCTACTTTCAGGAGAGAAGAGGGCTGCTGCTGTTCTGTGACAGCTAAACATGAGATGCCTTGCCATTGCCATTCAGCTCCTTGTTCTCTACCTGTCTTCTAGTTCATGACACAAAGATCTGAATCACAAGAGCAGCCAGTGACAGTCAGCTATGTCCGAACTACCAAATTAGATAACCTGCCTCCTTTTTTTTGAATGACCTTTGCTCTTACCATCTAGATTGCTAGAGACATTTTAATACATATTTTGGCAATCTACCATCACCCAAGTTTTTCCAAGATTCTTTGAGTTCCTATAACATCCTTAAATGTTTGAGATTTTGAACAGTAAACTCTTAAAATACCATCTTCATGTATTCTCAAGGTTCCGAAAGATAACATCACAGAGCATTCCACTTATACTGTATTTATACAGTAGTCACTTTCAGTCATACGTTGCAAGTTAATTCTCTGCCTTCAGATTTTCAAGTTACCGCATTTATTTTTTTTAGAAAAAGAAAGAATAGAATTCAAAGAAAGGAAAAAAATACAATTAAAATCATCTAGTCTAAACTACTGGATTATAAACCAAGCAACTTTCACATGACTGTTAGTAGCACTGGATTCAATCACATGAGGCTGAAAGAAAAAAAAAAGGTAGGTGCTCTGAGAAAGTTTTTCATAGAATTAGACAACTCCCCTCCAGGATCTGTTACTATTATTTTTAATAAACGTCACGTTTTGCTGATCTAGATCAGGTAACTGACTGAAAAATGACAGCTACCATCCAGAAGAATCTAATGCGTAATCATTTCCTTAATCCTTCCACCTCTATTGCTGTTTCAAGAGTAATAATTAGGTTCATCTGCAGTATACCTACCTTCCAAGTGTCGTCTTTGATGGTCTAGCATGACATCCTTACGGTAGAACATCTTATTGCAGATTTCACATGCAAACTTCTTATCCCCATGCTTTTTCTTGTGTTTTGAAAGATTACTGTTTGTAGAGAAGAATCTGAAACACATCTCGCACTGGAATGTCTTGTCATCTGTAAGCAAGAGAACCCATGCAGTTCTTTACAGGTGAAAGCGGGTTTTGCGTATCTGTGAGATAGGTAGTTCTCTTGTTAGACCTGATTTTTACCATATAATGCATCATTTTATGGACTGAGGAGAGAGATGCAAAAGCATGTATTTTTCTTTTACTTTAAAGTTTGTCTTCCCATTAAAAAGAGAATAAGCATCAAACAACCCATTGAGTTTATTTTTGCTACCTATGAGTTTAAATATCACTGGAGGACATTTCTTTAAAGGCAATAAATACATATGACACTAACTTGAACAGTGACTCTTGCATCATAACTTCCTCACGTGGGGTATTTCCATTGTGGTCTGGCATATTTGGAGTTTGGAGTGGATTCTGTTACAGTTGATTCAAGTTTTTAACGTTGGTACAAGTCACTTCATGTACAGCAACACAACATCACACGAACTCTAAGCGCCACGATACTTCTTGCCAGTACTGGTTCCTAATACCAGCCAGTACTGAATATTCCAGAAGAAAATATAAAAACTCCAGACCATTACATGACAATAGGCCAACAGGGAAATTGTTTTGCATACAATAGTCAAGACTTTTGTTGGAACATGAAAGCATGGTCCTGTACATGGAATCTCCCAATGCTACAGCAATTACAAAGAAGCAATAGTTTGATGCACTAAAGAGCAGAGCAAAAACTGCTGTGTGTTTTGGTAACAGTCAACTCAGAAAAAGAGCTGTTGTCTTTTAATAAACAGAATACTGAGGTTATTTGGCATTACTTTCCATTCTTCATAAAGCTGAGTTTTTATACAAGTTGTACCCTCAGAAAGAAAATGACTTTGAATAACTCCAGACCATTACATGACAATAGGCCAACAGGGAAATTGTTTTGCATACAATAGTCAAGACTTTTGTTGGAACATGAAAGCATGGTCCTGTACATGGAATCTCCCAATGCTACAGCAATTACAAAGAAGCAATAGTTTGATGCACTAAAGAGCAGAGCAAAAACTGCTGTGTGTTTTGGTAACAGTCAACTCAGAAAAAGAGCTGTTGTCTTTTAATAAACAGAATACTGAGGTTATTTGGCATTACTTTCCATTCTTCATAAAGCTGAGTTTTTATACAAGTTGTACCCTCAGAAAGAAAATGACTCTTGAATGGTGTTGTAAGGGGCAACTACCCAGGTGATCCTGGACTGACAATTATCATGGGTCCATAAAAGTAATCACTGTGTCATTTTCTAAGCGTAAGATCACTCAGCATAAGTAATATGAGTAACTCCAGACCATTACATGACAATAGGCCAATGGGGAAATTGTTTTGCATTCAATAGTTGAGACTTTTGTTGGAACATGAAAGCGTGGTCCTGTACATGGAATCTCCCAATGCTACAGCAATTACAAAGAAGCAATAGTTTGATGCACTAAAGAGCAGAGCAAAAACTGCTGCTTGTTTTGGTAACAGTCAACTCAGAAAAAGAGCTGCTGTCTTTTAATAAACAGAATACTGAGGTTATTTGGCATTACTTTCCATTCTTCATAAAGCTGAGTTTTTATACAAGTTGTACCCTCAGAAAGAAAATGACTCTTGAATGGTGTTGTAAGGGGCAACTACCCAGGTGATCCTGGACTGACAATTATCATGGGTCCATAAAAGTAATCACTGTGTCATTTTCTAAGCGTAAGATCACTCAGCATAAGTAATATGAGTAAGCATAAGGGATGGCTATGGGAGAAAAGGACAGGTTCTAGTGATACCAAAAAAAACCCCAATCACCTAGTGAGACTACCAGAAGTCCAAAGAGAGAAAGCATAAGAAAGCAGAAGAAAACTGTAAAGCCAGAAAATTTGCCCCCTTTCCAGTTCCTCTATTTCAGAGAAATGAGGTGAAACTTAGTTTCAGAAAATAAAGTTAAAAGAGAGATGGCAACAGGCTATCTGTGAATATACAAATGAAATACCAGCGAGGATATTAGACAGGTGAGCAGGAGATATTAAAAAAAGCATTATGTAAGTGTATATGTGGCTTCTGCTGGCTGTATTTTTCTATCACAGCAATGAGGGAAGGGAAGAAGGAAAGAGGCAAGTTGCTTGTTGTGATGATGAAAAAAATATCCTAAATGCTTACTCCCCCTTTGTAATTACTATGCTGAGATGGATTTGCGGACATCCCCACAAAAGGAAGTAGAGATGACAGGAAGCAGAAGGTTAGCTGTTCTCACCTGTCCTGCAGTTATGGAATTCCAATGCACTCTCTATCCGAAAGGCCTTTTCACACGTGGTGCACTTATATCTGTACTCACTGTCAACCTGAGGATTGCAAACGGCAACTGTTTAAGCAGAGAAACAACCAAGTAACTTCTGACAGGGAAATTCTAAATCTCAACTACTTTTTCTGTTTCTGCCCTGTCCAATTTTTCTTCCTTCAACAAGACACTTAAACACACATTGATGCAAAATTCTGATGCTACATCGTCCTGCCATGTTCCTACATCTGAGCTCTATACAAAAAAAGAAAAAAAAAAAGTAAATCATGCACCTGTGTGCATGGAACAGTCTTCCTGATAACCCCCAATCCAACCCAGTGACAGAATTTTTGAGAAGCAAGATGTAATCTGACTCATCCTCATAAACCAAGCAACTTTCACATGACTGTTAGTAGCACTGGATTCAATCACATGAGGCTGAAAGAAAAAAAAAAGGTAGGTGCTCTGAGAAAGTTTTTCATAGAATTAGACAACTCCCCTCCAGGATCTGTTACTATTATTTTTAATAAACGTCACGTTTTGCTGATCTAGATCAGGTAACTGACTGAAAAATGACAGCTACCATCCAGAAGAATCTAATGCGTAATCATTTCCTTAATCCTTCCACCTCTATTGCTGTTTCAAGAGTAATAATTAGGTTCATCTGCAGTATACCTACCTTCCAAGTGTCGTCTTTGATGGTCTAGCATGACATCCTTACGGTAGAACATCTTATTGCAGATTTCACATGCAAACTTCTTATCCCCATGCTTTTTCTTGTGTTTTGAAAGATTACTGTTTGTAGAGAAGAATCTGAAACACATCTCGCACTGGAATGTCTTGTCATCTGTAAGCAAGAGAACCCATGCAGTTCTTTACAGGTGAAAGCGGGTTTTGCGTATCTGTGAGATAGGTAGTTCTCTTGTTAGACCTGATTTTTACCATATAATGCATCATTTTATGGACTGAGGAGAGAGATGCAAAAGCATGTATTTTTCTTTTACTTTAAAGTTTGTCTTCCCATTAAAAAGAGAATAAGCATCAAACAACCCATTGAGTTTATTTTTGCTACCTATGAGTTTAAATATCACTGGAGGACATTTCTTTAAAGGCAATAAATACATATGACACTAACTTGAACAGTGACTCTTGCATCATAACTTCCTCACGTGGGGTATTTCCATTGTGGTCTGGCATATTTGGAGTTTGGAGTGGATTCTGTTACAGTTGATTCAAGTTTTTAACGTTGGTACAAGTCACTTCATGTACAGCAACACAACATCACACGAACTCTAAGCGCCACGATACTTCTTGCCAGTACTGGTTCCTAATACCAGCCAGTACTGAATATTCCAGAAGAAAATATAAAAACTCCAGACCATTACATGACAATAGGCCAACAGGGAAATTGTTTTGCATACAATAGTCAAGACTTTTGTTGGAACATGAAAGCATGGTCCTGTACATGGAATCTCCCAATGCTACAGCAATTACAAAGAAGCAATAGTTTGATGCACTAAAGAGCAGAGCAAAAACTGCTGTGTGTTTTGGTAACAGTCAACTCAGAAAAAGAGCTGTTGTCTTTTAATAAACAGAATACTGAGGTTATTTGGCATTACTTTCCATTCTTCATAAAGCTGAGTTTTTATACAAGTTGTACCCTCAGAAAGAAAATGACTTTGAATGGGGCAACTACCCAGGTGATCCTGGACTGACAATTATCATGGGTCCATAAAAGTAATCACTGTGTCATTTTCTAAGCGTAAGATCACTCAGCATAAGTAATATGAGTAAGCATAAGGGATGGCTATGGGAGAAAAGTACAGGTTCTAGTGATACAAAAAAAAACTCCAACCACCTGGTGAGACTACTAGAAGTCTAAAGAGAGACAGCATGAGAAAGCAGAAGAAAACTGTAAAGCCAGAAAATTTGCCCCCTTTCCAGTTCCTCTATTTCAGAGAAATGAGGTGAAACTTAGTTTCAGAAAATAAAGTTAAAAGAGAGATGGCAACAGGCTATCTGTGAATATACAAATGAAATACCAGCGAGGATATTAGACAGGTGAGCAGGAGATATTAAAAAAAGCATTATGTAAGTGTATGTGTGGCTCTGCTGGCTATATTTTTCTTATCATAGCAATGAGGGAAGGGAGGAAGGAAAGAGGCAAGTTGCTTGTTGTGATGATGAAAAAAATATCCTAAATGCTTACTCCCCCTTTGTAATTACTATGCTGAGATGGATTTGCGGACATCCCCACAAAAGGAAGTAGAGATGACAGGAAGCAGAAGGTTAGCTGTTCTCACCTGTCCTGCAGTTATGGAATTCCAATGCACTCTCTATCCGAAAGGCCTTTTCACACGTGGTGCACTTATATCTGTACTCACTGTCAACCTGAGGATTGCAAATGGACTGTTTAAGCAGAGAAACAACCAAGTAACTTTTGACAGGGAAATTCTAAATCTCAACTACTTTTTCTGTTTCTGCCCTGTCCAATTTTTCTTCCTTCAACAAGACACTTAAACACACATTGATGCAAAATTCTGATGCTACATCGTCCTGCCATGTTCCTACATCTGAGCTCTATACAAAAAAAGAAAAAAAAAAAGTAAATCATGCACCTGTGTGCATGGAACAGTCTTCCTGATAACCCCCAATCCAACCCAGTGACAGAATTTTTGAGAAGCAAGATGTAATCTGACTCATCCTCCAGCTCCAGAACGCATGCCAACAAATTCACAGCTTAGGACTGAGAAGCAAGATGTAATCTGACTCATCCTCTAGCTCCAAACGCATGTCAACAAATTCACAGCTTAGGAGCTTGATGCTGAGCAGCAATGGAAATATTCACTGATAAGGCCCCACTACAAACATGTTTAATATTTATATGGCAGCAGCACTGAAAGGCCCTCACCAAGAGGCATAGTGTTGCTGTGGTAAGCACTGTACACTTACGTATGTGTGCGCAGCACTTAATGCCACAGCCTTTACCCAGAGAGTTCATACATTAAATAAGGCCATAGGTGGGGATAAATAAAATAGGACAAGCAAACAAGACTGCAACAATCCTATTTAGTACCATAAACTGAAGTCAGATGCCACCTCTAGATGATGGAGGTTCAGGTAACTCCAGCTTGTGTTGCTGTAACTGATGCCTGAAAACAACTTCCTATAGGAAATTCAGAAACGAAAAAGGACTTGTATGCACACATTAAATAAGGCCATAGGTGGGGATAAATAAAATAGGACAAGCAAACAAGACTGCAACAATCCTATTTAGTACCATAAACTGAAGTCAGATGCCACCTCTAGATGATGGAGGTTCAGGTAACTCCAGCTTGTGTTGCTGTAACTGATGCCTGAAAACAACTTCCTATAGGAAATTCAGAAACGAAAAAGGACTTGTATGCTCAAAAGCGTGTCCACACTTCCCAAATTTATCAGCTGTTCTAACAGAAGATGTTTTCTCTCCCTATCAGTCTTGTCTCACTTATTCACACGGATATCTGCTCAAATTTAATTGACCCAAGCTCTGCAGGCAGCACCTGGAAGTTCACTGTGCATCTTCACCTAACCTCAGAAAGAGACCACCAGTCATTTCCACTCACTTCGTTCCTGCTGTGCTTGTATGAAACATGCTGCTTCAAGCTCTCTTTTCGGCTGAACAGCTTTGCGCATTCCTCACATTTAAATAGTTTGTCACCTGAGGGCATCAATCAAGATAAAATACAATAAAAAAAATTAAGTAGTCAGTGACTGACAATAATCAACTCCAGGTAAGACAGAGGAAACCAAAGCACAAACAGCTGCAAACAAACAGGCGGGCGATGGGAAACTACTAATTCAGGAGATTCAAATAGCGGAATTTAACTTTTTGCAACAATTTCGACAAAAAATTTTGTTTGGTTCTCCCACCCTTTTTAAACTGCTGTTTAAAATATGTACCTAAATTCAAATCTGAAGTACTCCAACTTTCAGCTACTATCTTCTCATGATTTGGTCTGCAAAACTAAGAGTTCTCTAGAGAGAGTTTAAAAAAATAAAGAAAAAAGGGTTCTATTAAAATTATCCCAAAATTTAAGAATAGCTTAGCTCTTCTTTTACTCCAAGCTGGAACCACCAAAATCAATATGCAAGCGAGGCAAAATCAAACCCACCATGAGAACGGATGTGCCTGCTGAGGTTGCTGCTGTTCTGGAAGATCTTACTGCAGATACTGCATTGATAGACTCGCTTGTGCTCCCCAAGTTGTTTTATCAGCTTCCGCCGTATACCATGTCTACTGGAGAGAATTAAACTTCTTTTGAGGGACATGGTGTTTTGGTGATGAGCAAACCTACTGGATTAGAGAAAGAGAGGCAGGGACTGAAAGGTATCCCACAGGTTGCAAGAAAGAGTCCCACCAGCTGGCAAAAGCTAGAGGAGTGTTATGCTCAGCTTCTGGCAGGAGAGGGGAGCCTGGAGCTTCCTCAGTGCCAAGGCACCCTCCTGGCCACCCCCTGGAAGCAGCAGATGTCAGAGTTACAGCTCACTCCAAATTATCTTCACCCAGCACAAACAAGGGAAAAAGCAGCAGCCACCAGCCTCAGAGATTCTCTCTGCAGGCTCCTCAGAGGAACATAAAGGATCTGTTCTGCTTATCCTCTGAAAACATTAGCACCATTTCAGCTTAGAAAGATTGGCAGTTCACATGCAAAAGGCAAATATGATAAGAGGGCAGCAGGGCGCCAAGAAGCAGTACTGTTCTATTTCCCAGCACAGACATCCCCACAAAAGGAAGTAGAGATGACAGGAAGCAGAAGGTTAGCTGTTCTCACCTGTCCTGCAGTTATGGAATTCCAATGCACTCTCTATCCGAAAGGCCTTTTCACACGTGGTGCACTTATATCTGTACTCACTGTCAACCTGAGGATTGCAAATGGACTGTTTAAGCAGAGAAACAACCAAGTAACTTTTGACAGGGAAATTCTAAATCTCAACTACTTTTTCTGTTTCTGCCCTGTCCAATTTTTCTTCTTTCAACAGGACACTTAAACACACATTGATGCAAAATTCTGATGCTATATCGTCCTGCCATGTTCCTACATCTGAGCTCTATACAAAAAAAAGAAAAAAAAAGTAAATCATGCACCTGTGTGCATGGAACAGTCTTCCTGATAACCCCCAATGCAACCCAGTGACAGAATTTTTGAGAAGCAAGATGTAATCTGACTCATCCTCTAGCTCCAAACGCATGTCAACAAATTCACAGCTTAGGAGCTTGATGCTGAGCAGCAATGGAAATATTCACTGATAAGGCCCCACTACAAACATGTTTAATATTTATATGGCAGCAGCACTGAAAGGCCCTCACCAAGAGGCATAGTGTTGCTGTGGTAAGCACTGTACACTTACGTATGTGTGCGCAGCACTTAATGCCACAGCCTTTACCCAGAGAGTTCATACATTAAATAAGGCCATAGGTGGGGATAAATAAAATAGGACAAGCAAACAAGACTGCAACAATCCTATTTAGTACCATAAACTGAAGTCAGATGCTACCTCTAGATGATGGAGGTTCAGGTAACTCCAGCTTGTGTTGCTGTAACTGATGCCTGAAAACAACTTCCTATAGGAAATTCAGAGATTAAAAAGGACTTGTATGTTCAAAAGCGTGTCCACACTTCCCAAATTTATCAGCTGTTCTAACAGAAGATGTTTTCTCTCCCTATCAGTCTTGTCTCACTTATTCACACGGATATCTGCTCAAATTTAATTGACCCAAGCTCTGCAGGCAGCACCTGGAAGTTCACTGTGCATCTTCACCTAACCTCAGAAAGAGACCACCAGTCATTTCCACTCACTTCGTTCCTGCTGTGCTTGTATGAAACATGCTGCTTCAAGCTCTCTTTTCGGCTGAACAGCTTTGCGCATTCCTCACATTTAAATAGTTTGTCACCTGAGGGCATCAATCAAGATAAAATACAATAAAAAAAATTAAGTAGTCAGTGACTGACAATAATCAACTCCAGGTAAGACAGAGGAAACCAAAGCACAAACAGCTGCAAACAAACAGGCGGGCGATGGGAAACTACTAATTCAGGAGATTCAAATAGCGGAATTTAACTTTTTGCAACAATTTCGACAAAAAATTTTGTTTGGTTCTCCCACCCTTTTTAAACTGCTGTTTAAAATATGTACCTAAATTCAAATCTGAAGTACTCCAACTTTCAGCTACTATCTTCTCATGATTTGGTCTGCAAAACTAAGAGTTCTCTAGAGAGAGTTTAAAAAAATAAAGAAAAAAGGGTTCTATTAAAATTATCCCAAAATTTAAGAATAGCTTAGCTCTTCTTTTACTCCAAGCTGGAACCACCAAAATCAATATGCAAGCGAGGCAAAATCAAACCCACCATGAGAACGGATGTGCCTGCTGAGGTTGCTGCTGTTCTGGAAGATCTTACTGCAGATACTGCATTGATAGACTCGCTTGTGCTCCCCAAGTTGTTTTATCAGCTTCCGCCGTATACCATGTCTACTGGAGAGAATTAAACTTCTTTTGAGGGACATGGTGTTTTGGTGATGAGCAAACCTACTGGATTAGAGAAAGAGAGGCAGGGACTGAAAGGTATCCCACAGGTTGCAAGAAAGAGTCCCACCAGCTGGCAAAAGCTAGAGGAGTGTTATGCTCAGCTTCTGGCAGGAGAGGGGAGCCTGGAGCTTCCTCAGTGCCAAGGCACCCTCCTGGCCACCCCCTGGAAGCAGCAGATGTCAGAGTTACAGCTCACTCCAAATTATCTTCACCCAGCACAAACAAGGGAAAAAGCAGCAGCCACCAGCCTCAGAGATTCTCTCTGCAGGCTCCTCAGAGGAACATAAAGGATCTGTTCTGCTTATCCTCTGAAAACATTAGCACCATTTCAGCTTAGAAAGATTGGCAGTTCACATGCAAAAGGCAAATATGATAAGAGGGCAGCAGGGTGCCAAGAAGCAGTACTGTTCTATTTCCCAGCACAACCACCCGCTGGAATGCATTTTTCGATGGCTCTGTGTCTGCTAAGGACTTCATTATATAGCTTTATTGGCTAATTTTGAAAAATCAAGTGCTTTATTATACAAAAAGTAATGCAAAAAGCCAATTTTACTGAGACAAAAAGACATAAAAGATTCTAAATTAATCAAATTATATTTAAAAGTCTCCCTGAGGTTCTGTTAAGCTGAAATTTTCCCCTCCCGTTGCTCTAAATCTGAAGTATCACAAGCAGAAATCAACATGAAGTCATTCATGAGTTAAGATGACAAGCAAAAGTGAATAATAATGGTTAGCATAATTTTTTTTGCAAAAATCTTTTTGCCTGTTTTATCACCAACATTCAACTGGAGTAATATTTCACCTTGCAGCTGCAGGAAGCTTTTGGAAATACACTGAATACAAGCAGTACCATGATGGAAAATAGAAGCCTCACGGCTTATGCTCCGAAATTCTACCACCAATATCTCACCATCTGTGCACCATCCTCCAGTGCACAAGCCATCTTTGTGGAACTCAAAGTGTACTCTTGTAGAAGCAGTATTATCACACAATTTTACGCTAATAAAGAACAGCATCTGTGGGCCCAGAGGTTGAGCAGACCTGTTACATGCTACATAGTCTTAATTAAGTCTAAGAGGAAATTCTGCATCCCAGAGCACTTACTTTGTCACTGAACTGATGCTATTTGTGGTGCCAGGCATCCTTCCTAGAACAAATTCCATAATTCTCTCTTCTGTAGCTGAAGGCAGGGCTACCTCTTCTGGTGGGACCTCAGCTACAACTTCAGCTACATGTTCCTCTGCAAACATGTCATAAAAATACAATGTTAATGTAGATAGCTAAAAATAAAATTTCAAATTCAGGAATTTGATTTTGTAATGAGATGTGGCACTGAACATATTATTTGTCCATGACAAATACTGGCTTGCTAATGAGTAGGTAGCACTTGTAAGACAGAGAAAGTGGCTACTGAATGATAAGTAGGATGTAGCCAACATCTCCTGTGTAGGTATAATTTCTTACCTTTCCAACTTATTACTAAGGGGTCAGTTGATTATGCATCATGAAAATTCCCACTAGAACTTCCCTTTAGTAAGGCAAGACCCTGAAAAAAGCCCCTTTCAAGAATAAACCTTAAGGTAGAGAGAGGAAAGTATCTCCTTTTCAGAGGGAGGATGTTTTCTCTCCTGTTCCCCCTTGCAGAAAGCTAGGCAAGTCTCTCATAACCACTATCCTGTGTTTCTCTGGGCCTCTCTATTACTAAAACCATCACAGGAGAATGCAGGTGATCTAAGTGCAGGTGCTGCAACATTCAGTGTAGAATGTCAGTGTAAACAAGTACCTCAGAGATAATTAAGAAAGTCTGTAAATTGTCTGCTTTAGTGATCTAACTAAAAACCTCCATCTTGTCTCTGTGCTACTTTTTAAGCCTTTCTGAGAGGCATCAAAAGACATATGAGAGGATATGTGCTTAGCATTTTCTTAAGTTTTGTTTTACCTGCAGAGTCTTTATCTTCAATAACGACTAGAGGTATTTCTGCTTTTGCTGTTTTGGGCTTTCTTCCCCGCCTGGCCTTCCTCCTTGACTCTGTACTGGCACTGGCCGCATCACAAATCACTGGCTGCTCCACAGGGGGAGGCTCTGCTGCTTTCTCTGCAACAGCCTCATCTTGGCTGCTTTGGGGGGCACCTTTGGCTTGTTCCAGGTGACTCAGCAAGTGCTCTGGGTGGATGAGAAAGAACAAGAGAGTAAGGAGGAAAGAAACCACCATGAAATACTGAAAGGGATAGATCCAGTTGAAGCCTATCTATTGGGTTAACCCTGCTTAGCAGAGACTCACTTCAAATAATTTCAAAAGCAGCCACAATACCTTACTAAATAAAACAATACAGCCTATTAAACATTGAAATGATTACTCATAGGGACTGAATTTTTAAGAGATTTGTTAGATTTCACTGGAAAAGGTTGCGCTCCCTGATAATGGGTACATTTTACCAAATGCCCAAGTTATTTAGCAGCATAAGTCCCCCTTCCAAAAATGATTCATCAAATGGTCAGAGTTCTTAAATATTCTAAGGTCTTCCAAAAACACATAAAACAGCTGCAAATGAAATGCAGAAAAAAATGTATTTCATTACTTTTACTAAATCTGTGCCATAAATACTAGGACAGACAGTATCACTAAGTATAAACTGGCATCACTGACCTCCTATACCCCTCAAGCAGTTCCCCATCCTTGATATTCTTAACATTCACACGTCATCTTCTAGACAACAGTTTTATTTCTTCTAGATTCAACATCACAGTAGTTTGCCCAGAGGCTGAGCACTGCCATACCCAAAATATCACTATTTTATCTTCCCTGCTACTCTTTTTCTTAAAGGAACACAAAAATTCAAACCTTTATCTTACTGCACCATGGACAGAGTATGGCTTTACAGTGTCCTGCTCTGGAAAAGCAGAATTCCTCTGATGCTTCTCAGTACTCCCTCGTGAATTTCTAGCACTTCTTACCTGTCAGCAGCTGAGGCTCCTGGAAAGCAGAAGAACACACTTTACACGTCCACTGGCTGGGCTCTGCTTCTGCAGCTCCACTGCCTTCTGGAGCATTCACTAAATCACAACAAGAAGAAATGTTGAAAAACTTTGAAAAGGCGAAGTTGGTAAATTCCTGTAGCTTTATTTATCTTGCAATAACTCCCTCAGTATCACAAGTTATGATTTAAGCAGGTAGAGGCCCACAGGGGCAGCTGGGACCGCTTCAGGATTTTCCAAACATGAGCACTTGAAACATCAGAACAGATGAGAAATCAGAAAAGAAACTAAAGGATGCCAGGAAAGAACATCAGTGCTCTTGTAAAGTCTTGAAGGTCTCTTTATAACTTTCTAAAGGAATGTGATTATCAAAGGCACAACATAAAGCAATTTTTAGCACCTTTAAAACATGGTTACCAGTCCTCTTCTGGGTCAGTTGAGGACAGAAGCAGGAGAAGCCTCCTTGCCTCTCTGAAGAGCATTGCAGAGTAAGAACATTTGGATTAACAGAAGTAAGGGTAAGGACAATGAAAATCTGATTTTGAGTAGTTTCATTAATTAGATCTTCTATGAAACCACTGTATTTATGGTTTAATTAACATATCAGCTTACACCAGATAAAGAAAATTAGAGGGAAAATGGAACTGGAATGAGGGAAAAAAAAAAATAAAAGAGGAAAACAGCTACTCTTTTCACAATCCATTGTCCTTTAGTCCTCAGATGATATGTCTGAATTTGTCAAGAGGATCTGATAAATCTGGACTGGTTCAGAGATTTTTTTGGTAAACTCAAAGCTGAATATTCCGCAGTCTACAAGGAGGATGACACTAAAATTAGGTTAAGTGAATGGCAGCACAGAAGATTCAAACTGTGCCTTGGTTTCTGCCACAGATTACCTGTATGATTGTTAGCAAGTCAGTTCATCTTTCTGGCTCATCTGTAATGGGATGATAAACTTACTACCTCCTTTTCACTGTTGGTTCTTAAACCAAAGTAAAAGATTCTCTGAGGTAGAGGTTGTTCCCCGCTACAAATTACATTCAGTGTTCTGCACTACAGAGGTGTGATACCATGCATGCCACAATAAACACATAAAACATGACTAGACAATTCAACAACAGAACTTCCTTCTTCATGGGCTACATAATCTTCTTATCTTAAGAGCTCTGCCAGGGAGACCAAAACCAGCAAACCTAAACACCAAGATTCTGAGTAATTTAAAAAAAAAAAAAAAAAAAAAGTCAGACTCATAAGCAACATGTAAGCTACTGTACCGATTTCATGAAGTTGCAGGCTAGTAAAAATGAAAAAGCACTACCTGCAAAACTGAAGTCTGTCTGGGAAAATTGTCCCTGATCCTGCGCTTCCCTTGCTCCTTAGCTGCCTCAAGCAGTAAACCTAGAAACCCTAGGTGTGCCCTGGTTTGCCAGAAAGAGTCAAGTCCTGTTTAAGTTCCCACTTCTTCAGGCTTCCACGACAGCTGCAGGGCAACCCAGTTTACTTGGAAGCACAGATCTGTCAGTTGACTTAAGGCAAAGAGTCAGAATCAGAATAGGTATATTTTGTTTTGGAAACAACAAACCACTACATCAGTGGGAACATTTTAAGGTTTCCAAAGTATAATAGGCAGCATTTTATTTCTATTGAAGTTGGACTTTCCCATAGTAGGTGAAGGATGTGAGAGGGGCTGTTCAAGTTCTCCATAGTTTGCCCACCACCACACATACGCTTCCCCCTGGAAAAATCAGTGATGCCAAATTTGACGACAACTCCTCAGTCAACTTCAGATTTTAGCTGTAAATGAATGGATCTTCTGATGAATTGCTCTGCACACATTTGCAACAGCTCTCCTCCTCTTCTCTTGGCTACTTTTAGTATTAGTAAGCAAAATTTAGCAAAGTAACCCTTTCAAAGAACAGACCCAGAATGGTTTTCTTTTTATCCTGATCTCTATAGTATATACTTTGAGTTTACTTAATACATAATTTGTGTTAAGTGGGTTCTTAATTTCATTATTCAGCTTATTGGAGACTATGGGGGGGAGGGATTGATTCATAATCAGCCTTGGGGTACAAGTTTCTGGGACACCAGTAGTTGCTTCCTGAGCTGTATGTTCTTTGCCAAGAGTATCTGTATTGCTTATAAGTTTATTTAAATTTGAGTTCCTGTAATCTAGAACAGTCTGAACTCTAATAGGCTTCTGGCATTGTAATTTGGGGATGGTCAGCGTTCTTATTTCCAAACAGCGCTGTTCTTACATTCACTCACAGTCTCACGTTTTCTTCTCAAACCTGATCATCTGAACTATTACATTTTGCATAGAGTCTGAAGATTTTCTTTCAAATTGCCACCACCCCAACACTAACCACCTCCAAAGTCAGAACGCATTTTGGTTTTCATGAAAATCATCTGTCTAAAGGTTTATCAGTGCTTCTGCCCCTTTTTAACTTGCATGTGTATTTTAAGCACTGTACCCATGAAAAGAAAAAGAAAAATCCTGATTTTCAAATCCTCTCTAAAGTAATATTTGCTGAAAGTTATTGAACCATAATATCTGCATAGCAGTGGTACACCTAGCAGCTCTTTAGATCTATATCTGTCCTCTCTCTCCCTTAAAAATTCCACAATTTTGCATACCTGCTGGGTCAGCTGCTGGTATGCTGGATTTCCTAGTTTTTTTATGGGGGATGACAGCTGATGAAGGTTTTGAAGAAATTTTGTTCCCCTCTTTATCAGAGTCCATCACTACCAAGCACATATCTGTGAAAAGGAAAAACAGGTCCTTTTCTTTATTTTCCAGACCCTTTGATTCTCTTGCTCTGTGCTGAGGACCATAGTCTGGAAGTTTTGCCCTGTAGCAGGCCTGCAAAAAACACTCATGTAAAATCCTAACCAGAACATTCGTATGCCCAAATCTCATACACTGTGATTTCATATTGTGGAGTGTATAGTGGAAGTGCTCAAAAAGAAAGTAGGATATACCTAAACAATATTTTTAAATACCCATATGCACACAAAAATACATGAACAGATTAAAATAAAGAGGAAAAAGATGAAACCTCTCAGTTAAAACCAACTGGAAACATCTTACAATTCAGAAACCTGTTAACCACATTGATTCAGCTGTAGCACTTAGGACTGTGCTTACCATCAAGATCAGCCCTAAAGCATGCTGATGGCAATGGTCTCTCCCCAAGCCATTTGTCACCCCAAATTATACTCGGGATAGCAGTAATCCCATTCAGGGACTACTCCCAACTCAAGAGCAGAAAGAAACTACCCTTGCAATGCTAAAGGATCATGCCTTTTAGCTATAGAAATACAAAAGTAGAAGAAAATGAAGAGGCAGAAGAACAAGACTTCTGCAGGAAATTTTAATTTAGATTCTAAAAAATCTGCTGCCTTTCTTTGCCAATGCACAAGCAATTGTGGAATGGCAGTTCACTCTTGAGTTTTCTTATTCTAGTGGGTCCCACGTAAGGCTGTATAAGACAAAAATAGTTTTTTAGAACTGTATAACAGTTCTGAGTAAAACCAAAACATTTTCACTACAACTGAAAAAGAATGGCTTCTTTGGCAAATCTGCATATATGTTCAGACTTATGCTGATACTTAGGTACCTTTGCTCTTCTACCCACAAATGTTTTTGATGCAACCATCAGTTCTTCAGTTAAGAACTATTTATCCAGTTTGTTCACTCAGAAGGGGCTGAATCATCAACTAGGCCATCCGTTTTCAAAGACTCAGATAAATCACGGTGATACATCATCCTTTCTTCTTGCAGGGCAACCACGTATGGAGGTTAGCCTGACTCTAAAGGCTTACAAACTCAGGGTCATAGCCCACTTGATAAACCATACTGTCAACTACAACAGCAGGGGACTATCAGTCCCTATCAGGACTGGGCCCTTAGGAAGGAAAAAAGGCCCCCACACATACCATTGGCAACACTAGTGACCTGCTTCAGCACTGGCTTTTCCATTTTTTTGCCGTAAAAAGCTGCATACCACACTCGCAGCTCAGTTCCTGGTGGGATGTCCCGGGAGGTGGTGAAGTAAATATCATTGTCTTGCTGAAAGGCAGTTAAGTTTTGATGCTCATATTTGGTAGCCGGTCGCACCATCATCATCCAGTTGCAATCATCTTCATTTGAGGTATCAAAATATACCAGGGGCCCACCCTTCTGGAACACCTGCCAAGCGAAACATGCATGCAATAAAACCCTATCAAATAATAACACAAAGTTAAGAAGAATTTTTATTTTCTGCTTTTGCCATTGCTTCTATTCAATGTACATCAGAGACACCTTGCATCAGGCATGTTTCATGTATCAGTCACATCTTCACACGATTAAGTCTGAGACAGACAACCAGGAGCAGGATGGGAACAAACTGAACTTCTACCTTAAGAAATCTTGCTATGGACACCAGTTTCTCACAAAATTTGAATGACCAAATACAGGAGGATAGAGGGGAATCCAAAGAGCAAGCTGTGAAACACCCATCAGCTCAAGTCACATTTCTAAATCTTTACTTCTGGGCTAGGTATTACTGAAGACTAAGACTGAATTCAATTTTTACTGTAGCATTTTTCCTACCAAAACTTGTCAAGAGAAGAATAAAACAAATGCAAGACAAAACCAAATATATTTATTCCGCATGTCCCATAAACTTAATGCATACGTCACTCATTAAGCAAACAAAATCAAACTGAAGACACTCATTAAAACAACTGAAATGAACTGTCATAGTCATTGTCCCTCTTGTACCACCACATGCAGAAGGTAAAAGACAAGCAGTTTCGCTGACTGTACCTCTAACCCTATCCCCTATAAGGTTGTTCACTTCAAACATGAAGAACAAGCCTCTAGTTTGGTTCCTCTGTATCTTGCCCAAAGAATGCTTGTTTAGGTAGTCTCTCATAGGGCATGCCTAAATGAGGTCCCAATTAACCCCTCTACACATATTTTTTTCCCCATAGCGTTAGCATAAATTCATCACGGGTGAAATTGACTCCTTGTTATTGCTTTTCATGCGCCACGTCTTACCTTCAGGGGAAAAACTGACTCTTTTTCCAGCTTGGCAACTCTCTTTGATTCAAAAGGGCCAAACTGGGTACGTTTCACTAGTTGAGTCAGAGCAAATACTCCTTCAGTCCCATCTTCCAATTGTCTTATCTCCAAATTAGAAGGGAGGGATGATCTAAAAATTGGAGAGAGGATTGAGAAAAAAACAACCCAGTTACATGTAGGACAACACTGCAGGAATCCATAGAAGAAAGAAGTTAACATCTATTTCTCCAATCTCCAGTGACAGCAAAGTTTTCTAATGAAAATACCCTAACACCAATGAGGATTTATAAATAAATAGAACTATCAGCAGTGAAGGAGAGCCAAATCAGAGATTACTTGAGAGAGCTCAACCCATGTAAATCCAGGGACCTGACAGGCTACACCTGGGGATGCTGACAGCAGACCAATACCACAGTAAGACCACTCTCTATCACGCTGGAAAGATCACGGGCATCAGGGGAGGTCTCTGATGACTGAAGGAAGGCAAATGTTGCACCCATCTTTAAAAAAGGCCAAAAGGATGATATAAGGAACTACAGGGTTGTTTGGACTCATTTCAGTCCCTGTGATGGAACAAGACTTTTTTGGAGGCATTTATGATGTTTATTTCTCACATGAGAAGGTTACTGTAAACACAGTCACCATGGACTGATTAAGGGTAACACATGCCTGACAAACTGTTTGCCTTTCAGGATAAAATGACGAGGTTTGTGAATGAGGAAAGAGCAGTGGATGTCATCTCCCTTGATTTTAGAAAGGCTTTCAACACTATCTCTGTATCCAAGCAGGGATTTTATGGTCTGGATGAGTACACAACTACTCAAGTAAATAACTTGTTGGGTGGTCAGGTTTAGATGGTCATGATCAATGGTTCTTCACCTGGAGGCCACAACAACCGTGGTACCACAGAAGTCTGTGCTGGGACCTGTACTGTTTAACATCTTTATCAACAACCCAGGAGGGGCAACGGAGTGCACTTTTATCCAATTTTAAGATCGCATTCACCAGGGGACACAGTCCATACATCTGAGGGCAAGACTGTTATCCAGAGGGATATGGAGATATACACCAACAGGAACCACAAGAAATTCCAAGGACAAGAAGAAGTCTTGCACCTGGGAAGGAAGAACCCCAGCCAGTACCATCACCAGGGAGAAAGACCCTGGGGGTCATGGTGGGCAGCAAGCTGACACAAGGCCATAGCAAGTCCCAGCAGCAAAAGGGGTCAAACACATCCTGCATTATATGAATGGGAGCAACCAACAGTTTGAGGCAAGTGATTGTCCACCTCTTCTCTGCACTTGCTGAGTCTATTGCCTCCTGTTTTGGGCTCCCAATATGTGAAAGATATTGACAAACGAGTGAGCTCTGGGAAGGACCACCAGGACAGTCAAGGGCAAAAGCAGTCACCCTGTGAGGAGAGGCTGGGTAAGCAGAGCTTGATCAGCCTGGGGAAGAGATGGCTGTGGGGGTTCAAATAGCCACCTGTGCACACCTACACCAGGGACATCATTGAGATGTAAGGCGCTTCCCGTGGCCTCATGGCAAGAGCAGAAGAGACAATATGCATAAAAATGAAAAACGAGCAGTTCAGCCTGAATAGGTTCTGACTGGAATACCCTGAGACCTCTTCCAAAATGAATTATCCTATGACTCTACAGATCTTTGGTTATGATTATGCTTATTTTAAAAAATAAACTACATCCCTCCCCAAATTAACCTTATATACACAGATCACAGTCCTTAAGATGAAAGCCCTAAGTTTCCCTTTTGTCTTCTAGCTCCTGTATTACAAACATTGATACATGGATCACAAGTGCTTCTGTGTCCCCAGCCTCTCTCATTTACCAAAAAAGCTTCTGAGAACTATATGTAGTAAATATTGTTACTACATATAATAGACAGAGAACATCTTTAAAAAGAAATCATAAGGTTGGAATCACCATATTGTTTTTACAGACACTAAATGCAACCCTGTTTTTTCAGGTCTGTGCTAACAGATGAAAAGCTAAAAATAATCAGGCTACTGACTACTCTAGAGACGCTGACTCTAGCAGATCCACTTTCCTGTCTGGATGAAAAGAAATAAAAGGAGATTGCAATAATAGTGATAAGCAAATTAATTGAAAAAATGCTTCCAGTTTTAATAACAAAATAGGCAATGTTAAAGACAGTTAAGTTTAGGAGATGTTTCTTCAACAGTTCCTTTTCTAACCATGAAGCATCCATTTTATCTTTTCAGTATGACAGGGGAAACAACAACCATGTGGTTAAGCCAAGTAGGCTGGTTTTTAAGAGATTCATATCCAGTTTGTGGTTAAACTTGCCCTCAACCTCAGACAACTCACTCTCTTCAGCTATTGTTCTCCAGGTGTAAAACAAAGGCTGCAATTTTGTTTCTTCTTTCCCTTTCTTATCTTAGCTGTTTTCAGCCATTAACTCTTCAAGAAAATAAATACACTTTTCTGTAACAGCCATTTTTAAACTCGCCTTTCCAATCCACTATCCAGCAGCCCACACTTCCACTAGAGAAAACTTAGCATCAGCATGTCAAAAAAAGGTTGAAAACCAGTGCATGCACCATATTTGCAAATGTTCACAGTTGGAACATCTGGACACTATGGTAATTCTTCACTCTACAAACAAATAAGAGCATTAAATTGCAGGGTGAAAAAAAGAAAAAAAGATGAGGTAAGAAATAATAATTTAACTCATCATTGAATCTGCTTGGTATGGGCTAGAGACTTAACTGCACTGCCTAGTTTCCATGTAAAAGCAAAGCACCTCCATCACCAGTTTTCTATGATTCCTATGGGCATTTTGAAATTTCCCTCAAGAACAAAGCACCTCTAGAGTCAGGGCTGCTAAGAGAATAGTCTCCACTAACACTTGCTGCAGGAAATCATCCATGGTAGGCTTCCAGGCACGGGAAGGTGGTGCCTAGCAGGAGCTGCAGGGAAGGCTCAGAAAAATGACCATGGCTCTTGCATGAGTGCAGCCAGTGTACACTGTGGGACACCAAGAGCATCCTGCCCAGACAAAGAGGGGTCATGGCACCCGCACAACACACCCAGCACTTTCCGTATTTGTTACAAAATGATCCTGGAAATACACAGTATGGCTTACATAGCCAGCATGTGTCAGACTTGCTGCCCACGTGCCTGTATTTTCTGTTTGTGACTTCCCAAGACAAAATATGCAAGCCCTAAGCACACTATATAACACATGAAGCCATCTGAACTCTCTTCTCTTTTCGGATTTCTACTGCATCTTCACGATAGTTATTTTCCTTAGCCTTACATTTTACACCTTAATATGAATTTTGCTGACAATGCCTGATTGCCTTTTTGTAAAGATCACTACTCTGTGTTGTTTTCTCCTAACTAGATTTAGTCTATTTGTTTCTTTTGGCAAGCGTGAATGTTTCTGCTGTGTTATCACAGACTTTCTGACAGAAGCATAACCCCTTATCACTTGTAAAGAATCATAATAATGAGAACAACTTGCTTTGTTTCTCAGTGAAGGAAGTACAGAGGTTACACCAAGCAGGAGGACACAACCATTCATAAGAATGAGGAATCTGCACACCCTTCTCTGAAACTAATACAGTACATCTGAGGAGGGGAAAACGTTGCAGGTACTCAACCAAGTCATGATCCCACCTGACACAATCTGACTTTTTGCCAGAAACCTCAGCAAAGAAGCCAAGTCCTGATGAGCAACAAGTTATTTTTTGGCTTCAATTCAGCAGATCACTTAAGTGTGTGCATCAATTTTTTTATTTAATCAAGGCTGTGTGCATTCCACAGATTGGGACTTTAATTTTCAGTTGTAAGCATGACACCCATTAAATAGCAAGTAAGCTTTAAAGAACTAAAATGGGCGTCAGGCTAGTCAGAAATAACACAAATGTTCCTTACCTTGCCCTGCTCAATACAAAAGAGTCTTTGACTGTCACCACTGGGCCCAGTTCAGGACACTCTGAATCATGGTACAGCCCACAGTCGTCGCACCCTGCAAGGAAGCAGACAGCACACAGAAAGGTTGATGGAAAATACTTTTGTAAGACAGCTGCCTCCCTTTTTTCAAGGGCCAAATACAAAATCTAGCACCAGGCAAAATACTTGCATATAGAGGCAGATGTTTATTTATATTGTTTAAAAGAACATGTATAATTGAACGTCACGTTGATACCTGGCACCTGTGTAGATGAGATAACACACACTGTGATGAGTACTACCAGAAAATTGTTTATATTCTCTCTTAAAGGAAAGTAATTGTCTTACACCCACAGCAAATATTCTGCTTAAAGACGGCATTATTCTTCAAAGTAACATCTAGCACCTAAAGTCACTACCTTCACCAGAATCCAGGCTTTTAGAACCAGCTTGGGTAGTGATCTTTTTAGTGACAGGAGGCATGAGCCCAGTAGCAGCACTGGCATGGACCTCAGCAGGGCACAGGCACACCACGGGAGCCCAGCTCTGCCTGCAGCCGCACTTGGCCTGCTCGTGCTCCTCACACATGGCACAGGCAGAGATAACTCCAAGTTACTTTCTGGTGCCTTTCCAAACAAGTCAGCTGGCTGCGCAATACGCTTTGGCCACCTCTTAATTCACTGCCAGCTTACCTAAATCAACTTTAAGTGGCTGTAAATTACCCAGAACTGAATGGTTCCTAAGAAACGATTTTCAGACCAGGATAATTTGAGGTTTTCTAAAATAAGCCAACTTAACAGGATTTCAAATGCATATACATTGTTTCACTGTGAAAAATAGCTGTCAAACTGCCCTGTCTGGTCAGCGGCTGACACAGCTTAAGAAGAGATCATCACACAGGGGTTATATTCCTGTAGTGTGATTTCCACCTGAGCTCCACACTCACAAGGGCAAGTCAGGTAACCCCAGTAAGGATGCAAAGTAGAGGCTGGTTACACCTTGTTTGGGAAGAGAACAAGACAAAAGCCATTTCATTCCAGACTATGCCCCCTCTGCTAAAGCTACTCTGTACTCCGAACTGGAAACCTCTCCCTCCTAGCATTTGTTCCAGTGAACTAACAAAAGGATTTCTTCTAAAACGTGGAAAAGGGATCCCAAACTACAATGCACAGCTCCACGTTGTTTCTTCATCTGGCAATTAAAACAGTTTAGCAGTGAAAATCCACATACATTTGACAAAGAGCATTATCAGCTCATGCGACCCCCAAGCCCAGCCGCTGCTTCCTATACAGCTGTTTGTGCTACCTTCTGGTGAACCAAGGAACCAAACAACCAGCTTTTCCCATCAGTTTATTTTTCAGCTGAATGCAGCTCCCAGTCCAGTTTGCTGCACGGCACCAGATAGCTGTATCAGAGGAAAGGATCAGTGGGTAAGTGCTATCCACATAGCACCAGCTCCAAAACTAAGCCTACAGCCAAACAGACTCCCTTGTCCTGCGCTGTTTACCTACCTCCCCCTGCCAGCCTCCTTAGGCGTGCCTGTAGCTCACGCAGAGCTCAATATTACTGAAATAATCTGGGCTAAATACAAATTTCCAAAACCAGAGAGGGTGGAGGAGCCACACAGGAACGTGTAAACAAGACTGCAGAAAAGAATCGGATTATCATTCACAAAGGGTTGTCATAACCAATGTGGGACAGGAAGGAATAGCTGGAGCAACAGCTTCTTCAACAGGCTTTACTGCCAAAGGAAACAAGCCATTTGCCATTCCCCTTCTATTTCGACAGCCACTGCACAGGTTCAACAAGGTGCAGACAGCACTGTCCAAAACTACATGCAGAAATAAGCTACACATTTCTCTCACTGCTTTGCGGATGAATGATCAAAGCAGGGGGGGAGTATGATACTAACATTGTGTAGCAAGTCTCTCAAAATCTAAGGGGGGATGCCTTACAGCAGACATTCCCCAAGGCTGTCACACTCACCATATGTGACAGTTTTAAGAGATTACAGTCACAAGAGAATCACAAAACTAAGCATGAGATAAATGGTAAAATACCCTGGGGGGAATATATTCACAAACTTTTACAAAAAATATTGCAAAACTCTTTTATGTCTATGAAATATGTAATCAATGATGTTAACTATGGGAGTGCACAGTATCATTTACAACAGACTTTTTCAGAACATAAACAGTCATCATATCCCACGGGAAAAACTTACAGAGAGTATAAGAAGCTCAAGAAATTCAATGACCAGAGGCTCCACTGGAAGGGTGACAACTGTGTTGTGTAACACCTTCTATCTGTGCAATTAGGGAATGGTATCACATCCTCACCCTTGTTGCTATCCTCCAGGGTCTTTTTATGAAGGGGAAGATAAGGGAACATCACTACTGGTATCTGCAACTCAATTAAAATGTCTATTGAGTCAACAGTATTTTTGAAGGAACCCTGGTGAATCTGTGGTGGAGGGAAAAGTGGAACTTTCTGATATTGTTGCCATAAGGTTGATGTGCAGCTGTGGAACCATCAGGGGTAAAAGACTGTGGATCCATACTCTGCTCTTCCCAGATCAGATTCACAATATGCGGGACCTCTTCGCTCATCCAAGTAGGTGAGCAGACTCTACATCTCTTAACCTTGTTCCACTGTAACACCAGATCCTGCATGTCCAGGCTGGTGAGATGCTGCAGGGCTAGTATGCAACTGGAAAGCAAGCCTACTAGCCAAGATCCATCAAGCATGGGACACTGCCCACCGCACTCCCTGGACACACCAGCCTCTCTTCACACACCATGACCCTGTATCACGGGTCACAGAGCCCAGTCTGTCACACAGGGTTATGTAGAAGGCTGACCACAAAGTTGCATGAAGCGCAGGCCTAGCCACAGGGGCACAAGAAAATGCAATGAATGCCATGAGTGACACTTGTCAGGGCAGTCAGTGCATCTCAAACTGGGCTTATCCAGAGAGAATAACAAGCCTGCATTCTCCTCCTGTGGAGGTGCAGATCTTGAACCCAGGCTAGAGATCGGAGTTCCCCCCAGACACACCTGGCTGCTAAAGCTGGTTGTATAAACAAAGAACTTAGGCTAGTGTTAGGCCTTCAATCTCACTGGCTTCAACCATGAAAAAGCTGTTCTGCTAACTCACATTCAGAGGTCTCTGTGTGTTTGCCAACAAAACCAGGAGAATGTGTATGCTTAAAATGAGCAACCTTCTGTGTACTCCTCCATAAGCTGTTTGAGGTTCCTTTACATAAACACTTTTCTAAATAAAAACTTAGTCTGTTTCAGTCTTCAATTTCAAACTCCCTAAGCAGACAAGTCACATCATGAGAGTTACATCATTTTCCTTTGTAATACTTACAAATAAACATCGTCTCCTCACTGCTATCTTCTGCCATTTTTCAAACCTGCCAAAACACAAAAGATAAAGTTAGTTCTGAATGACTTTTACTCCCTTTATGGAGTAATGTCTGACCCAGAGCATATCCAAATACATCCCTGCAAGAGTATCAGTGGAAAGTTAAAGAAATTGAAGTTGCTAAAAATCCCCGAGTGACCACTGTATCATCAAAAACTAGGAATTCATCCACTTCTTCCCATGAGCAGGCAGGTGTTCAGCCATCTCCAGGAAAGCAGCGCTCCATCACACATAATGGCTACTTGGGAAGTCAAATGCCATCATTCCAAATGACTGACCTCCCTTCTTTTTTCCACAGCTTTTTGTATATTGAGCATGACATCATATGGCATGGAATATCCCTTCAGTCAGTTGGGGTCAGCTGTCCTGACTGTGTCCCCTGCCAACTTCTTGTGCACACCCAGCCTACGCGCTGGCAGAGTGGTCTGAAAAGCAGAAAAGGCTTTGATGCTGTGCAAACGCTGCTCAGCAATAACTAAAACATCTCTGTATTATCCACACTGTTTCCAGCACTACCTGCTGAAAGCACTACCAAGAAATCTACACATTTGGAGGTTCACAGGCATTTCTCTCTGAGGCAATGCTGTGTCTCATGTTCCCCATCCCTCCGCTCGCCAACCTCCAGCCATTCCCGTGGAGCCTCAGAACAAGCAGGACCACAGGACTAATCCAAGCCAGCAACAACCACTGTGGAAACAAGGCCCATCTGGTTCAATGCAACATCTTACTGAAAAGTAGCTTAAAAAAATTTCTCTCTCAAGGACAGATTACTTATTTAATCAGCACAATAATCTTAAGAACCTAAAAACTGCAGATATAATCACACATTTGTTCCCACGGCAAAGGTATACTGTGGTAACAAGCATCAGAAAACCTGGGAAAGCGAATCCCATCCCTGTCATTGATCTTCCATGAAATGGTAATTCACCAGTTTGCTTTCAGCCATAAAATAAGGATAATCTATATTCACTTTGAGAAATCAGTTTTGGCAATATGCATTAAAAACTTGCATAAACACTATTTGTTGCTCCTCAACAAAGTTTAGACAATCTAAATTATGTTTGGCAAGTAGGCTGTCATTACGTATGGCTAAGACTGCAACACAAGGAGCATCTAGAAGAAAGTTTTCCCTTTTCTAACCATGGAAAGGCTCTCGTCCTCTCATCCTTTCAATGCCCCAGTGACAGGCAAAGCAACACGAAGATCATGAGCCACGTCTAAGAGAAAACAAAGCTGCAGAAACAGCAAGCACACTGGTCCAGATGAAAACGGGAAGGAGCAGGAAATTGAAGCTGTCAGAGGGAGGAGGACAAGAGGAGAGAAAATATGAATGAGGACACACTAAGATAGCAGAGCCCTGTTTGAAAATATAAAGCATTTGCTACTACGACCAAAAAAGCCAAGCCAAAGATTTGCATAAGCACAGCTGTTACTTGGGATCAGCACAGGAGCAGGACTCCCTGTTATGAGTCTACTCCTGAATACAGATGCTTCATATGCTCTGCCTGGCCGGGCTGGAAATACGCCTCAGGCTGGAGCCCAGAGCAGCAGCTGCTGCACAGGTACTGTCTCTACTGACTTTTCAGCACAAGCAAAGTCCCTGTCCCACACAATCCCTGTCACTGTTCCAGGAAGGACTGATTGCTGCTGACACCACGATGACACCTGCACCCACCAGGGAGCAACGCAGCTGCCAGCTGCACCCATGCTCCACCTCAAGCCTCCACCAGAAGGAGCAAACAATGCATAGGCTACTCCCAATCCATAGGCTACTCCCAATTAGCAAAGGTCGGTCTGTGGCCACACAGGGATGCGCTGGGTGGAAAGCCAACACGTGAACTGACTGAAATACAAAGGGACACCTAGTAACTGTGGCTCTTGGTCATGGCAGGAGGGATCCTGCTGCACAGTTACCTGGGAAACAGCATAAGGAGGATTTTGGTCACTGCGTCTGAGCACCCTGGCATTGCCCCACTGCCCTCTCCAACTCCACCTCATGTCAACTGCACGATCCCTCATAACACCTGCTTCCCCGCAGAGGGGCTAGCACTGCCCATCTGTAGCACAAGCTAGGCCTTCTTTGGCTATGGCTTTTGGGGACAAAACTCATGTAATAAAACACTTAAACATTCACGTAAAAGCCCAGCGCTGAGCATGAGCAGCAACTCAGGGAATTTCCCAAAAGCTCTTTTCCTGAAGCACTGTGAACAATGCAACAGGTATTCAGGGAAACCCAGAGTATAACTGTGCAAAACAAGCCACAGAAAGCGCATCGTAGGTTGATGCCAAAAATGGTTTGTTTTGCTTTTTAACCAAGATGCTTTGTGCTACTTCAGGAGGTGTACATCCAGTTATTTTTAGATAGTTTGTGTCCTAACAAGACTTTAATCCAAAATATGGCTGAATTAACAAATATTCTTCTCGGTCAACGGTTCAGATGCGCAGAGGACGCAGTGCGGCAGACCAGCAATGCTGCTGTGTGACCTGCTCCTCAAAGGGATTCGCCCTCCAGGACTTTCCCGTGTCGCATCCTTCACAAACAGCAGACTGATGACACGCGACCTTTCAGAAGCAGCGACGTCAGTCTCGTTCTAAGGGCCGTCAGATGAGAATAGCAGCAAAGGGGCGGAGAAACCATAGTGCCATAAATGTTGCTCAAGGTGAGGGGGAGAAAGCGTGAAGGTCCCTCAAACACCCCTCACGCAGTTGATAAGGACACTGCATCTCAGTTATTATCTCCATTAGCGTGATTTTCATTTTTGCAGCGAGTGCTTTCATTTTCCACATCGCAAGATTTCTGATTTGTCATCCATCTTTCCTACGCTCAGCACAGCGGCCTCCTATGCTCCGAAATAAACAGGAACAGATAACGTATTGTGTATCAAATAAACTCACACCTCAACACGCAGGTGCAAAAAAAGAAGTACCTTACATTAGTGCCTGCACCTTGTTGCAAGTTCCTGCATCATCCTTTTTTCCCTGTTCCTACTTTACAGAAAGTGTAAGAAAGGAAGAACAACCCCAAAACAGGCTTAACAATTCTGCTTTGCAGGACACATACTACTTCTCACCCATAGGCTTCCAAATTCCTCACAAACCTCAACAATTTCCCAAGAGTTTTTGAAATAAATTGACATTATGCCACCTGTTCCAGCTGGTAAATGGAGTCACAAAGTGCCACCCTAGCTCCCATGATGGCACTGAAGATAGACTTCAGAGATTTTTTTACCCTCATCTACTGTTGTTCTGGACAAGTCAGATTTTTTTTTTTTTTATTTCAAGCATTTGTATCAGAAAAATATTCCATTAAGTCGCATTGCACATAATCATGTTCTTGTCTTGCAGAGATAATCAGAGCTTTGGGAAATTCCAGGTATTGTTTTCTAAAATAGAGAGCAATCAGTGAATAATCAGGCGAAAACCTACACAGAAGAAATTAAGACCACGGGTACAAAGCCTTATTCTAACTGCAGAAAAAGAGCAGACAATGAGTATTTTCTGCTTGTATAATTAACTGAGCAATTCTGTACCTGAGAGTGGAACATGCAGCTAAGCACACAAACTCCAGCAGCAACACGAACCTCTGAACACACTGAAACTCCAGGGAAGCCAAATGAAGACACTGAGGAGCTGCGAAGTTACACGTATGTGCCCACAGAGTACGGCGTGCAGCGTCAGGGAACCACTTGAGCCAGAAGCTATCCATAAAACGTAAGACCTGGTATAAAAGCATGCCTTCCCCTAGCAAACTGCTGAAGAAAGAAATCAGGCTCCAGTGGGAAATCGAGTAATTCTGATCTTGCAAAGGGATTTAAAAAATGGGTAGGAATTACTAAAATAAACCAAATCAATCTGTATTTGAATCTGACAACAAACAATGTAAAACTGAAGTTTCCCTTTCTTCTTTCTTCAGTTTTCCATTAAAGTTCTGGAGTGGGCTTCTACTCGTGTGCATAACTTGAAAAACACAAGTGGATGGGTGGTACTGCAAATATATGTGCGGGAGCAGAAAATGCACTTAAAAATACCCTTCGTTTTCTTCGTGACGTTAAGCCACATTTGTTCACGCTACCGCTCAAAGTAATGGGAAACTACCTGGCAGAATACCCCGTCAACTACAGCGAGGCCTTGTATTTCTAAGTAATTAGGATCCTGCTATCAGCTGCTGCTGAGAAGGGGGGCGATTTCAGTCCCAGTCGGGGGGAGCGGAGCAGAGAGTAAGAGCGAGTGCTGAGTTTACACCACCCGCCCCCTCCATCAATTCCCGCCACCGCCTTCACCCTGCCCGGGGTGAAATGAAATACGGGAGAAGTTATGTTTTAATGAGAGCCAGCAGCAAACGGGCGCGTTGCAGAGAACCTGTAGGAAGCCCCGCAGGCTGGGGCTTTCTGCCTCCCATCAACACACCCCCCCCTCCTTCCAGAAGGAGCCCGGGCAGGGGTCGGGCAAAGCCGGCACCCCCTCCGCCGGTAAGGGCCGCTTCCCAGACCTGCCTCCTCCTCCTCCCTCCCCT